GTCAAGCAAAGGATCATGGTCTACGTAGTTAAGTGAGACTGAAGGCGACTGGCGCAGTGGACGCGGCCCCTCCCAGCAGGCCACCCCGCAGACCTGCTGTGGGGATATTGATCCATCAGAGAAAGTGTGGAGTCAGGAGCGCTCCACAGATGGGCAGTGGGACAGACAGAGGAAGTGCATTAGCGAGCAGGCGTCCCTCTGATGCTGTTAGCCCATCCCCTGAGAGACAACAGAGCTGGGGACAGGGCTTTATGTGAGGGGGTGAAGGGAGGGGTACAAGCCAGGCAGGAAAATGCAGTTTGACAAAAAAGGCTAGAATAATTTCCCTAAAAGGTTACTATAGAGCCCAAACCAATGATCAAGGATCCATGCTCATACATCTTGGACAAGGGAACACTGCACTAATACATTTTCCATATTATTTACAATATGACTATAAAATACTATTGAAGGTACAGAATGAGCCTTAACGATCTGTTCTGTTGTTGCTGGTCAAATATGTGAACACTCACACTCACTGTAAGAATTAAGGCTGCAACAATGAATCAACTATCAAAATAATCAGTCATAGTAAGAATGCATGTTTCCAGATATTTTTGGGAAATAAAAACAACTGTGATTGAATAAGAGCAGGATAGCTATATCCGTGCAATACTGTGGAATATTCCAGGCAAAGCAATAAGAGACAAGAAAGTGGTAAATCTTTATTCAGCTTACCAGTACTTCAACTTTAAGAAAGTCTTTGGGGTTCAAAAAGAGGCCAACCTTGGACTGAGCTGAGACCCATGGAGAAACTAGCGCTCATTTGTAACTCACAGATGTGCTGCTGCCTGGACCATCTCCACACTGGGCCGCCTGCCGGTGAAGAGGCTCCTCTGTGGGGGCACAGACCAGACCAGCCCTGGACCAGCTGGTGGCTTGGATCAATGACACAAGATGGAGCAGACAGAGAAGCAGGGACAGGCCAGTGCCACGGCATCTGGACAGGGGCACCACACCCCTGAGTGACTATGTGGATTTCAAATGGGACACGGTGTACAAGTGGAACAAGTGTCCATAAGAGGATTAAGGCCTTCTGTTTGAAGTGGAGACCGCACGCTCCAGATGGAATATGACCCACACAGAGACAAGCAGGTCCACCAAATCGGCACCAGCTACTGACAGCACTCAGCGCTCTGGTCACTTCCTGCTGTCTCACAGCTGTCCCATGGCACTCACATTTTGGGGACAAAGACGTGTCAATGAAATGAAAAAAATATGACACCAAATATTGTGTCTCGAGATTACTGTCTGGCACCATGTCCAAAATCAGTCACTCACACTTCCATACCGTTTGACATGGCTGCCAATCCATGACTGTAAATGTAACACTGAGCTACACAGCATGCACTCTTTATGGGGACAGGGTGATTACATTAAAATGTGCTTGTCCAAGTATGTGTGCATAATGGGGCAACAAAGACTGATCCAAGAATAGAGAAGAACAAATGTTTTTTTTTTTTTAATCTAAGCAGGTCAGACTCATCCAAGGGATATGAACTTATTGCCCCTTTATTATGTAACAATCAATCTTAAATTGATTTAGCTGGTGGACAGGTAAATATTTGCTTACAAGCCTCAATGTGCAGCTCCGGTACTTGTCACGCAGGCTGTAACTAACAACTGGTTTAGGCATTTGGCATTTTGATTTAATAATGCTGGTGTCTTGTATTTCATCATTTTTTCAGCTTGCTATATTTAAGATGAAGTTCATTTTGAGCAGTTTACAATATCAGTGCCATAAAGTAGTCTTTCATAGTTTTGTTTATCAAAATAATATAGGTCTTGTTTTGGATGTTGGATGAGTTCTTTCAGAGTGGGAAAATTGGACTCAACATGGGCCTACGCTTTGACGAAGCGAAAAAGTTCCACTTCCTTTGTTGAGTCTGGCTAGGCTTTTTGGTTGAAACAAACCGAAGCATAACAGGAATCATTGCTAATCAATCTACTAGCGTAACTAACATTTTGTGGCATTGAAGTTCTGACTTGAGGCCTAGCAACAGAGAACTATACCCACCATCTTTCCTCCCACTGATGGAATTCTAACAGGCAAATTACTGCAGCTGCTGGTACACAGGCTCTGAACCTTGTGGCCAACTGTGTGTGGACAACTGTGGCACCACCAGTGTCCCTACTATCTGCCCCGGCCATAGACAGCATTTTATCTATTCTGTAATGGTGCCCTGTTGTGCTGATTCACTGCAGCATCTGTGGTCAAAAATAATCATTCCCAAACAGACAGGGAAGTTAAGCCAAACATCCATTATAGCAACAGCAAGCTGATATTATGCTCCTAAACACACAAGGGGGCAGATATTACAGTCTATATTTCATTCTGCTCCTTTTCATTCACATTGATGTATGAAAATAATTATTTAATATTAATCTTAAATTAATTAAATAAAAAAACACATATTATTAATTACTTCATAAATTGCAAAAAACAAAACAAACAAAAAAACACAAAAAAAAACGACAAGGCACATAAAACTACTTAAAACACTTCTTCTGCTTGTTCTAGTATTTTTTCTACTGCTGTGGCTGCTTCTATTACAATTACTACAACTAAAACTCATGCTATGCTACTGTTATTTACTGCTAGTAAGAAATTAATGGTTTTCCAGCTTGTCTGAAATGCAAAACCCTAAAAATTTAAACATTCCTTAAAATGTGCTGAAAAAAGTGTTGTCTCGAATAAAGAGCTGAGTAAAAATTGTGGCAATAATTTCTGATGGCATTAAAAAGGGCCGGGGTCACGGGTTCAAGCAGAGAAAACCCCACTGACCAGAAGCACAGGCTTGTCCTTGTCACCGTGGAGATGTTGAGAAAAGAGCCATTTTAAATGAGTCATGCACCCACCCTGAAAAGCCGCCCGCAGGCTACAGGCGGTCTGACACACAAGTCTATTAACAACAATCACGTCTCATGAGGAGTGGGTCGAGAGGCCAGCTGTCGGCAAAATACACTATTAATATTTAAATCGCAACAAATACAAGCTTATTGACCATTTATGGGAAACAAGAACTGACTTGGAGATGCCAATAAATAAATTAAGACTTTCAACTGTTAAAGCCACAATATGTAACTTTCCAGCCAAAAAATAGACTTAAATAAAAGCATGTTTTTTCCATTGAGTGGGCTTGCATCTCCACAAGCCTGACTCTTGTTTGGCCTGGGGGAGGGCTCCTATTGCTTGTTTCCATGGAAATGTTATTGACTATAATCTCCACAGTATGGCATTAAATCTCTCTCCATGGATAATGTTCCGAAGTATGGTTTTAACTTTCTATTTGGATGGAATTATTAAGGTGACGTGTCATGCCCAGAAAGTTACATGTGCCTTTAACTAATGTTAAAGGTACAATATTTAACATAAACTGCACTAAAAAACAATTTGATGCTCCTTTTGGAAGATCATCAGAGAGAGTAAAAAAAACAGAATTAGAATAGCTTTATTTTTGTATTGTCATAACAACACCTACTCCCCGTGGTGATTCAACACTGCATCATTCTTTGTTGAACAAATCAGGTTGTACCAAACTGAAGATATTCATCTTCCCCATAATTACAATAATCTGCTGTGTTTATTTATGCTTAGTTTGAGACACATGTCCTACATTCACAAACGCCTCTGGCACTGAGCCACATGTTCCAAACCAATAAATCCTTAAATAACTTAATAAGCAGAGTTTGATGCTGGCTAAATTTAATTTCATGTGATTGCATTAGATAGGCCATGCTGTCTGTCTGTCCTCCATTTGGCCGCCTCATCCAGCAGTGAGTCAGCCGTTCTCTCATCCCTACGCGGGGGGCAGCTGGTCTGTCTGTGCCCATCTCTGACTCCCCAGACCTGGAGCCCCTCCAAGTGAAGTGCGTCGGAGCTTTAGAGGAGCTCATATCGGTCGCCCAGGGATGCCATTTAGTCAGGGTGACATCAATACCTCATGGTCCATCACCACAGCTTATTGACCAATACTTGCCCACTGCGGCCACAAAGCCATGGACAATTATACCACTGTCAGCTGAACCTCAGGGGAGTGAGAAAATAGTTAAGAGCTGGGGGTTGAGATTTTCAAGGGTTGCATATTTGTAGTTTATTAAATACTCTTGGCTAGCCTTTGGGAGCTGGCAGAGTGTCCCCCTCCCATTGTTCTACAAAGGGGAGTGTAATCTGTCTTGTTGCTCTACTCAACAGAAAGGAGCTGGCGGAGGAGCAGGGCCCCCACTGCCTTTGCCCTCACTCCACAATAGCTGATCACTTTTGGGGGGTGACATTAATCACATGTGATTATATACCAGGCTTAATCTAGGAGAAATACTTAAGATACATTTCCCCAAGACTCTACTGGAAATTGCACGTTAACATGCCACAAATGCTACTGTCTGAAACTAAAGGGCATAAGCCCAAATATTAGCTCTAAATGCCGGTCGGTCCCTTGAGGCAAATGAGGCATTTCTCAGCCTATAATAGAACAATGGGCATCACCGAACGAGGGTCAGACAGAGCCAGACAACAGGTTTTTCAATTAAAAACATGTTAAAACAGCACACTACCGCCAGATATTACCATCAGTGAATCATATGCAATATTTTGAGAGTTGAAGCGTGGCTTAGCAGGTTTACAGAGCATTTAAAGGAAACGTAGAAGCGCCACCGCCCCTTCAGCCCATCTGCCAGAAACAGAACTCAGAGCGACGATGCGAGAAAACCAGTCTGTCACTACAGCCTCGTTATAAGATGCTTTATACCGTGTAATAAATACAAAAACCTCACATTCACAGATTAGATCAGTGTATGATTGGATTAGTAAATGTATGTTGAACCTTATCAGTCTAACAGCAAATCTAACATCGACCATTTACGAGACACGGTTGATATTTTACGCATAAATTGTTCTAAGATGTAATTAGCTGCACAAACTGATATTAGCATGTTAGCTTGGGCTGAAGCGTGTGTCTTACCAGTAAGTGCAGCGAAGAAGAGCTAGCAAAAAATCCTCCAGCTACGCCCAGTGTTAGCCACTTCACCCCGGCTGGGATCAGAGCAGAATGAGGTGAAAGTGAAGATGGGAACTCGGTGAACCCGGGAGGAAATACGCGGGAGAGCGGAGCAGACCGAGCCGAGCTTCACGCACGAAACTTGTCCGTCCTGAGAGTGATGCAGCAGCTCCTGAAGGAGAATGGACCGGCGAGAGGAGAGGAGGAGGAGGAGGAGGAGGAGGGATGGACCGGACCCGAGGAACACAGGAGCGGAGGAGGAGGAGAGAGGAGGAGAGGGCTGCTGCCGCCTTCAGGAGCAGCGGAAATGTACCAGCATCTTGTGCGTAAAAACTCTCATCATGTACTAGTGATCTAGGGTGACCAGACGTCCCTATTTACCCGGGACAGTCCTAGTTTTGAGCCCTTTGTTCCCTGTCCCAGTGGATGTATCTAAAACCAGTGATTTGCCCCAGTTTTATTCAAGAAATGTCCCTGGTCTCCCTACTTTTGACCAATTTGAGACCTGCCAACAGCAAAGAGAAGTATAAATTGTGTAGTTTTTTTGTTTTAGGTTTTTGTTTAGGTAATATTACGCAAAACACAAAGAAAATGTGCCTCTACTGACTCACATGTTATCGTGAATAAGTCATGAATGGGCCAAGTGCATAAACATTTTCCAACCAACCCGGGAGTGTCCCAGTGTCCCAGAAACTGGTCACCCTGAATTTGCCATCATAAGTTAGATAAACTATATGAAAAAAGAAAGCCCAGGATAAAGTCACCTGTGTTTCTCATTAGAGGACACGAAGGTGGTTATTAATTTTCTCCCTGATTGTCCAAAAAGGAGCTGGACAAGTAGGCCCAGCCTCTTCTGTAATCATACACATTAATGGAGCCTTTTACTCAAATAAATTAGGTTTAGACAGTTCTGTTTTACCTTAAGTTTATGATGATTCTGTTACTCTATCATAGACTAACTACGGGTAGAATGGCCAAAGCAGCCATAGTCTCAGCAAAACTCTAAAATAGGCTACATTAGGCTGCAGGTCCACTTGTAGTCCTGCTGAAACATTAACTTTTAATGTTTAACTCGGCTACCTGAGTGTATAATAGTCTTATCTACAAGCTCTATCATTTGCCTATCAAGCTCACTGGAGGCTAGCCCCCCCTTATCATGATTTGCATTAATTCTAAAATGTCATTTTTTAACAATAACTAGGGTATACACATCCACATCCATCCAGTATTGTACATTAATGCACACAACCGATTATTATTAGTAGTAGTATAATATTTCACAAAGAAAAAAAAAAGTATATATATATACAATTTCCAAAATCTCCAGATCTGATTGTCTGAGAACCACTAAGGCTCCTTAAACGCACCATTGAGCACTACAGCGCGCCATGCTGGAATTGAAAGAACTCAAAAGGGAATGGCAGGAGGACTCTGGTTTGTGTGAGTGCGGCCAATCAGCTTCCAGGCCCAGGGATTATTCAAAATAGGGATGATGTCATCTCTTGCAAGTCACCCTACACTGTTGCTTGGTCCCTCTCAGTTGTCTCTGGCCCTCCCTCTAGGCCCCTACACCCCTTTCACTCCTCTTCAAACTTCTTTTTTCTTCCTTTCTCCATGCCCCACTGCACATGAACACACACACATACACACACACACACATACACACACACATACACTTCATGCTTGCTTCAAGTTGCCATTATTTTTCACTGTTGCTGTTGCATCCACAATCATTCATAGCCTGTTAACACATTACAGACCTGTTGCAGTTACATGGAAACAGATCTTTAATAGCATTGTAATGAAGGTGATTTTCACATATTTGATCTCAAAACATTCCAGTGGCTTTCAAATGTATTTTCTTTGTCTCAAAGTCACTTTTTTGTATGCAGGAGTGGAGGCTGCTTGACACATGCACCTGCTGCGGAGTTCAATCTGAGGCAGCGGGAATGAAAAGAGCAAAAATTGAAGCAGGAAGGAGGGGCTCAGAGTGAGGTAATCCCCAAAATGGCTCCCCCCCTTACAACAGTTGTGTGTGTGTGTTTTACATAGAGTGCCATTGTTTCATTATTATCAGAGTGGATTTCAAACATGTACAGGCTTGGAACCACTTGAAGTTGTATTGTAACTTACTATTAAAAGGGATTATATTACTTTATTATTATATTACATCATTATTAGCTGCAACACACATTTTTTTAAATATATATTTCGTAATTAATATATTTGACCATACATATTAGAGTAGCTTGTAGAACAAAAGAGCAAAGTACAATAGGGGCCTTTCATACTAGTGCTTTTAACTAATTTATGAATGTTATTTTGTACAACTCTGTAAGACAGTGATGTCATTTCTCTTCTCAACAAAGTCTTAAGTATTAGGTCTAAGGTACTGCTCAAAATGGCACCCGCTGCACAAACTCAAATGTGTGTTTTCTCCCAGTTGAATCAGACATAGAGGGGCATTGTTTCGAGGCTTTTGTTTGAGTGTGTACTGTTCAGTCTGGGTGGGCATGCCGCCGGTCTGTCTGTAGTTCTGTCTGTCTACAGTGCTTGTTCATCTCCCCGCGGCCGCCTGCCCTGTCTCCATGAGCCAGGCTTTTGTGCACGGCTGTGTTTCTGGATGGCCTTCTATTGTGGAGCGCTCTTCTCTTTCCAAGTACCACAGAGAGGTCTGATTTGGCCCCATAGTGCTGGTTTGAACCCAGGCTGCGCAGACAGATCCACAGCAATCATGCACCATATTGGAGTGGGTGATATGTCAAAAGTGAATATGTTGATATTTAGATTGATATTATGGCAAGCCATCAGAAATGTCCAGAAAAGCACCTTTAAATGTGTCAGTTGTGGTTAAAGTATTGCACAGAAATATTACTTTATTCTCTTGTTCGGGACATTACACTGCATGTTTTTGGATTATAATTTACATTTTTAGTTTTTTATTATCTAGACATTATACCTGATTTTCTTATTTTGTATATTTACAACAATTTGTCCGTAAAAACTCATATCATGTAGTAGAGATCTAAATTTGCTTTGGGTGACCAGACATCCCTATTTACCCAGGACAGTCCCAATTTTGAACCCTGTGTCCCCTGTCCCAGTGGATTTGTCCTTTTTATACAAGAAATCTTCCTGGTGTCCCTACTTTTGACCAATTTGAGACCTGCCAACAGTAAAGAAAGGCATAAATTGTCTAGGTTTTTTGTTTTAGTTTTTAGTTTGTTTGTTTCTTTTGTTTAGGTAAAATTACGCAAAACACAAAGACAATATGACTATACTGACTCACATGTTATTGTGAATAAGTCATGAATGGGCCAAGTGCATAAACATTTTCTTTAATTAGGTACTCGTTTCACAATTTAATTATTTACCAACCACAACCAACCTGAGAGTATCCCAGTTTCGGACTGTGATAATCTGATCACGATAAATTAGTTAGATAACCTATATGATTAAACTATATATTATATTAAACTACATATTTACAACACAGCAATTGCAATATTAAACATTTTTCGATATATCTCCCATCACATTGCCTCCTATACACTAATGAATGGTACTTAGACATAGCCACCTTTAACGTTATATTTAAAATTTTTCAATATTTTTACTGTATCTTAGATTTGAGATGATGATTGGATGAATAGTATAGATTACTACTACAGTATGCCCATATGTTAAATAACGCAAAAAGTATTGGGGCTAATATTGTACTTTGGGGAATGCCAGTTCATGGAGTTGTTGTTTGAAGTGGTCTGCTATTACCACCTCCGTTGGTTTGTGCAGGATAAACATAATAGAAGGTCAAGTCAACATGCGCATGCTTAATTAGGATGTTTACACTGTTAATCCGGTGGAATAAATGACCCACCTGTACAGAAGCATTAATGTGATTATATTGGCAGCTTGCAGGTGGAAGGCCCGAGATTAGAGCAGGAAGAAGTAGGAGGAGACTCTGGGGCTGTGATGCCTGCTGGACATGTTGGCATGGTCCAGCAGTTCCAACAAAGAGAGGAAGGTGTTTTTTTCATGCAGGGCTGCAGACAGGAAAAGGCAGTGGTGTGTACCCCGTGGGGCTGTTCCGTGTTGGTTATTTCAGTGTTTTTTCCTCTCTGACCCTCAGCTGGAGCAGCACCTGTCAAAATTGGCTATTCTAGGACACGCTGTAGGTAGTGGCCTAATTTGGTAAAAAAAAAAAAAAGTGATAATCTTACTAGAAAAAAAAAATTGGTAACTGTCTGCTCAAAAGCTCAAATTCATCATCAAATTCAACACGGTTTGGAGTGGCAGTATAAGTATCGCCGGGTTTCAGATGACAGCACAACATTATATAGGTCAATAACAGGGGTATAACCATAACCAAGTCTCACTACGATATCGTCGCGGTACAATATTTATTGCGATATCATGGGAAAGCTCACAGTATGATCACGAGTAGGGATGTAACAATATCCTAATCTCTCGGTATTCTTTTTTCACGATATACATATGATATTTAATGCGATATTTTGTGGAGGTTAACAAAACTATTAATATGCTACTTTTTCCTCTTAAAATGCCTTGACAAGACTTAAGCCAAAGAACTAAGACTTAAAAGTGCTTAAAACTGTTATTTCTTCTTGTAGTCTGCATGAGCAAAGGAGCTGAAATGAAATTGAGCAAAGGATCATGGTCTATGTAGTTCCCTCTGTCCCTGTGAATACTTAGGCTGCACCATAACTCTTAATTTAAGCAAAGAGACTTGTACTTTGATATATTGTGATGGTCCACAATATTATTGAGAGAACTTTGGCGATACGATGTCAAAATATTTCGGTTATTGTTACATCTCTAGTCAATAATATTTAATACAGATAGGGCAGCTAAAATTAATAATGCTAAAATGCTGAATTTTGTTTTAATATAGTGAGTTATCAAATCCAATCACTATTAAAAGTAATCTGGTTCAGCATTCATGCATTACCTTTTAAATATTTCACTGGAAAGTGCAATGTAATCAAAAGGAAAAACTGGCTTTTGCGTCCCATCACATTATAGAATTGGAAAACCACCAACAGGCTCATGTTGATAGACAAAAAGATGCTGCTGCATCATGCTAAATTTGCAGTTTTGCTCTTGAGGTCTGTCTCCTTGTCAGAGACTCAAGACCTTGCCCTTGTGGCATCATTAGAGGATAATAGAACTTTAAACTTTCAACTTTATTATTGTCCCAGAGGGAAATTGTTAATGTGCAGCAGTGTCAGACATACAGTAGACATACAATACAATTCAATAATACATTGAACCACAGCTTAAGCTTAGCTCAACAATGCAGACATGACATTCCCTTAAAAATAGGTTAAAAAAAAAGAATAGATATGTTACCGCATTTCACCACAACTGATCCCAGCTATAAGAGAGCATTCATCTTAGTTATGGCTTCAGAAAATAAAGGAAGTCCGAGCTTTCTGACTTCTGATCCGGGGCATACAGGAAGTGCTCTTTGGAGCAAGTTAATGCACTTTTAACATAATTACATCATTCAAAAAGCCTGAGAAATGCATAATACCTATAAATATGTTAAAAAGAAAAGTAATTTGATTTATAAATGTTAATGTTGGCAGTGGATGTTATGCTAGTACACACAAACAGTGCAATTTACATGGCAAGTAAAGCAGAAACCAATTTACCTATTGTTCTCCTGGTCAATAAAAAACACTACTGGGATCATATTAATAACACATAGAAAACATGATAGACACTTTAATATTTAAATATAAGAGTTCAATTATATATTTTGAAATAATAAGAACAACTTTTATATATCCTTTGCTCATTTTAGTCAAGGATGTCAGCATGACACAGGGCTCTTCCTGATAGGTAGATCACTGCTGTAACAACATGCTGCCAAATGCTGTCCAAGCCTCACGTGAGAGCAGCTGGCACAGACACAGACACAGACACACCCTGTGCTCCAGACACCAGCCGCCATCTTTGAAAAGGAACCCTTATACAACACAAGAGACGTCACCTTCATCAGCACCCACATCACCTGACTCAGTACAAGCATCGTCGTGTTACAAGTGCACTGTGAGACTGTGCACGTGTCCGGTTTGCTCTTAGTCTGGAGCACTGAGCCTCTGCAGGGAACAGCATGCCAGCACAGCATATCATTAACATGCTGCTCCACTCACAGACAGGCAACACGTGAGCAAGGACGCACGAGAAACCTGCATACAGAGAAATGGTCCTCTAGCTCCCATATAATTCATTAATTCTCTCGCATGCAACTCTGGGACATGTAATATTGCTGCTCACATTAGCAGTCATTAAACAAGCTGTGTGAGAATTTTATACACTGATGCTGAAACAATCACCTTAATTTTATGGACAAAATGTTATCTGGAAATAGCAAGCATTCGTCTTGGTTGGTTAATACTACTGTCAGCTCATGAATCAATGGCTGCTGATGATACACATGCTTTTTTATGTTTGCATGCAAATAATTAAACTAATCAGTCAACTTAAGTGTAGAAATAGTTAAACAGGCTGTTATTGTTGTTTTGAGTGGGGAATCTAGTAATGATTGTGATAGTAGTGTTTTGTCACATAAAAATATAGCGAAGTTGAAACTTTTGGATTGAGTTAAATTCAGCTTTCAAAAAATATATAATTATTTTTGCTTTGTGGTCAAATGAAGCTCCTCTGATCCTCACTGTACATCTTAAGTCAATGTGATTTTGTAATAAATGAAATGATACCTTGCGTGACCATAACTTTCTCAAAGATCTTTCAAAAAAAAAGTGCGCTCCAGGGCTTCTTGCTCCTGTCTGTTCCTTCCTGAGTGCTTCTAGCCGCATTCTTTGGTAAATAATGTATGTTTATGTTAACGGTATTGGACAGGCATACCACTCTACAGCATTAAGAGTATGGACAGCCCTAATGTATCTTCCTTATACTGTATGCTCTTTCATTTTGGTGCATTTACAGCTTTAGTTATGGTCCTCATCCTCCTGGAAAAAACCTTGACCAGGGAGTGAGGTCAGTAATAATGAGGTAAGATGTGAAGGTCAAATTCTGAACCAGCATTTTTTTTTTTTTTAACATGCCCTTCCCTGTGCTGTAGTGTCTCACTCTTCTCCTTTTCTTTAAGTGCAGCTTCAGGGCTGTCTGTCCTGACTGCTGTTATTGATCTACAGTGAATGGTGGTCTGTCAGGTGGCTTTGGAGAGAGCACGCCCCCTAGTGGAGTGAAATTAAGGGCAAATTGCTTGGTTTCAGTTGCCTGGAAAGTCCAAGAATTCTATGTAGAAGTGTGTACTCTGGAACCATGCAAGGGTTTCACATCACATTTTATATGTCAATAATATAAAGATAGAGAGCAGCTTTAATGAATATTGCTAAAATGCCTTTTTTCGTTGTTGTAGTACAGTATGTTCTAGTCTAGTCAATAATATAAATGATCTGGTTAGACATTTTTTATAATTTTTTTTTTATTTTTGACATTTACCTTTTAGATATTTCATGGCAAAATGTTATTTAAAAATGTCCCATCTGAGCGTATGACACCATCAAATTCTGAAACCTGAAAACCACCAATAGATTCAGTTTGTAGTCCCGGTTGCCCACAATACAAAATTGTATTAGCAACAATATGTCAGTGTGGAACTACATTAGATTACATTGATATTGGTAATATATACATGTAGGAGAGTTGGCCACAGACACATTTAGAACTTTCCCATGCAACAGTCCTCTGGAAAACACAAAACTTTATGTGCATGTTTGTGTGTGTTTGTATGAAGTATATATAATATAACAAACACATTTAAATGTATAAATAAGGTAATAGTGTTGATGCCATTGTAATTTATTAACATATAAAGGTTACAGAAGCCTATTTTCTTCATCACGAACATGACAATAAAGTGACAATAATATGTTGGTACATTTAATTTATAAAAAAGTAAAAATAAAAACATGCAAAAATCAAGTAAGAAGTAATGCCATTCATTTAAAATTCATTTAAAAATCAGACATTAAAATAATACTCAAGTAAATCTATATTGCACTGGAAATGACAAGCTTATTTCATTTCAAGAAAATGATCCCATCTCAAAACAAAGCATGACAACGGAGAATATACACACAGTATGTAACAGTATTATCCTGAACATTATACTGTATTTGTACAATTCCTAAGGCTGTGTACAGTCCCAATTCAATCCTATCAATAAGAGACTCATTTATATTATAGGTTCCTTTTGCAAATAAAAAAATCTGCTAGTTCAGAGTAATTTCTCACTGTAATTGTGCTATTGTGGTTTACAGTCAAATTTAAACTCTAAAACATTGAATTACAGAAAGTACACACATACATAAAATGTCTTTCAATGCATTAGAGCGCAGTCAGCTGGCTCCACCCTCATAAATATTAATGCTGTCTGATTGGCTGCAGGGCTAACTTCTCTTATGCCACGTCCTTGAGGCAAAATCCACTATGCAGAATGTAGTTTTTCAAAAGCTTCTATTTTCCCTTTTCAGTCTTTATCTTGTCAAGCCACAGATAAAATGTATGCTAACATGAAACAGGCAGCTTCGCATATTAACACTAATTGTGCACTGAGCAACATTCTTTTGCCCTAAAAAGATCAATGAATGTACCTTTTGTCAAAAGAGAGTGCATTATTTATACAGTACAATGCCGATGATTGAGCTAGTGCACCGAGCTCATATAAATGCAAAATTCAGACATGGCCAACAGAGGACAACCTGCTTCAAGGTTGAACAGTTCGCTCTCAAGGCATTATTCAAGTCCCGCCTGGGGACTGAGAAACATGAGAGGGAGTGTGGCTGTCAATGAAGTGGAAGGATTTGAGGGAAAAAAAAATCTGTCAGCATTCGTTAGCAGCCATTACTGATATCATGTAGCTGCTAATGTACCTAGTTTCCTGTGCCTATGTTAATGCAAATGAGACCCTGCAAACAACAAGTGTAAAAGCAATAAAATATGCCAAACATCCTCGAACATAATCAAGTTTGTACGTTTAATATTATTTAAACAGCTGGTCTACTAGGACTATACAAGGGTTTCAGGCAAATGATTCCTTCCATTTTTGAAGACCTTTCCCCGTTCAAAGTGTATAACCCATGGATACATACGTACAGCTATAACAGAATTATAATTTAAGATCTGATCTGGGGTGTGCATAATTTTCCTTAGTTATCTTTAAGACATAAGAAAATTCACTCAGATAAAAAATGTCCATACCAAACTGCAAAGATGAAGGACCAGCTATTATACTCTGCATACAAGATTCAGTGGGTCAAAGCTTTTCCATTGAACCATGAAGAATTTTGCAATAAGAAGAAATGCTTTTGGTTCTATTACAATATTATCTGGCCATTCTCTGAGAGGGCATTATGAGTAATATCAGTAGAACAGCAGTTTCTTAAATACTCTACTATTATTATTATTAACTCTATTAAATAAGTCTATTAAATTACCACACAATTAAAATTTCTATTCAATGCTCATTCTAAAGTTTTACTTGGTTTATTTGTGGCCTAAAATCACTGACATGCTGCCATGTGATGACTCCATTAGCTACTAGTAACACTGAAAACAGGCGTAGCTAATATTGTGGCCGTGGGGGGTGTAGTGAAAATGGAGGTAGTCTTTCTTTGTTCGTCACTACTCACAGCAGCAGAGGAAAGAGCAGGATGTCCCCTCTGGTCCTCTGAACTTTCCGGAGCTGGGCGTGTCCGTGCACTCTGCGATAAAAGCATGGAGGTCTGTGATGCGCACCTGCTCCTGTGTTTGGGCCTGGAGAGGAGACAATAATCAGGTTATGTCATTGTCGGGATTATATTTCAATGATGTACAGTGCCCCAGTGATGCACAAAGAACTCTGCAGCTGAAGTGACTAGAATGTGGATTACCGTATATATTTTCTTCCTTATTGAACATGTAAGGATGGGGTATAATGTGAATACTTTGACCTCAGGCTGCTGATGGTGTGAGGAGACAAAACTAGTCCATGCTACATTAGATTTACATGAGTGGCTTTTTGAAAAATGTGTACTTCTAAGAGTAGATTTTGTACTTGTATATGGGTAAAATATAAAGGTGTCTATTATTGTTTTGTTGTTTTTTGTATTTACATTTTAAATAAATAATATGATTATAATCAACATAATTTAGTCCCTATTCCTTCAATTTTAAAACATGGTGTATGTTTTAACTACAATGTGTTCAGTTACTCCAGCCGTATTTTCTCCAAATACCAAACGCCAAAATTTACACTTGTAGTATTTGTTTTAGATTACTACTTTTTGTATTTACCTAAGTAATATTATTTTAAAGTAACAATAATTTTACTGTTGTTCAAGTAGAGGTGTGAAGACTGTTGAAATATTTATTGTGAATATTGTTTCGAAAGATATGTTTACTTTGTATCTTAAATGAACTGTATATATTTTTAAAAATACAGCCAAATATAATATTTCTGCACTTTTGTGGGTATTGTAAGTGTAATTTCACATTTTTCTGATATTAATCTCAACTAATACATTTAAAGACAACATATTTCTATTGAATTTAAATAATATTAGTCCAAGGATATACCCCCCCTCCCTCAAAAAAAATAAAAAAATAAATAAGTATCTATATTGCCCATACCAAGTACAAGAACTTACCATGATGGTGTCGTAGGCTCCAGTGATGAGTGCGATGAAGAGGGACAGCACCATGTAGATGAAGAGGGAGATGAAGGTGTACAGGTAGATCTGGCTGAAGATCCACACCAGAGGACTGCTGTGCTCCATCTCCGCAAACGTCACAAACATGTCATCTCCGTTTATTAGAGAGAACAGGCACTCTGACACCATGGACAGGGACCGAAACTGGGGAAAAAAGAGCAGCCAGACAGCTCAATGCTCAGCCATAAAGTGGACAGTACTAGTGTTTGCTAGTCCACTCATGGTTTTAGTAGTTTTGGAGACTTTGTAACTCCCAAGACCCATTGGATGGTTCCTTGGCACATTTTGTATTTTGCTTTTAATAAAAATTGTATTCCATCAAATGCTAAAATCTTATAGGTTCTAGGGGTGGTCCAATTTGGATTTCTGGTAGAAAACTTGCGCCATTTGATTTACTTTTGTGGCTCCTAGGGATCAATAAAGTAAGTAAGTAAGTAGGTAAGTAAGTAAGTATCTATGTATCTATGTATCTATCTATCTGATAAGAAGCAACAACCACGCAATTTCACAGTTCACATACACAGACATCTGACTGAGGGCAAAATGGGAAAGACACATGGGCACACGCAGAAACTAGGGCACCATAGAAAATATATTGCTGCTGATTTTTTCATATTGTCATGTTATATTGTCTGTTCCTCATCATTTCAATCTGATAGTTATCTGGATGTTAACTGCAAACTAAACATGCTCAGAAATGTGTTGCTATCAGTTTCTTCATAGGTTTTGTGAAATGTGACCTTTTGGCAAAGCAAAGGCCAAGGTTAATAATCTTATTCTAATCTTAATCATATTACCTTAGTGTGATATGGTCCCAGTACAATCCAGCCACAAAAACAGTATCCCAAATAAATGGCAGCAGCACAGCAGCAAAAACGGATAACATTTGGAAAAGCAGCTCTTAGTGTGACAATCAGAATCTGTAGAAAAAGTAAGGGATTAAAACATGATCATAAATGCATTTTGTACACATTATGTGACTTCAACATACATTATATTTCTGAAAAAAGCTGAGATAACGTATGACTCCAACCCACACCAGCAGCGTGGATGTTCCCAACAGGATTCCACAAACATCGTATGATGAAATATTCTATGAAATTAAAACAAACACTTGATGTAAAACACAAAGAAAACTGCAGACTGTCTTTCAACTTTTGTGTAACGTGTAATACCTTTGACTCGATTCCAATTTTAATAAAGCTCCCGATGATTGTGAATAGGTCGCTGATAATAAGAAGAATATACCAGCCATTTATAAACTCCAACCTGTCCGACCAGGGGACATGACGACCGAATCTGTGTTTGAAAAATTGCACGTATTCCTGTAAATAAAAAGGATGTGTTAATATTAAAATACAGTACATAATAAGAATGCTACAAATGTTAAAGGGCAATATTCTAAGAAATGCTATTTATTGTTTATTCAAATAGTTGTGTGTACTGAACTGTAAGGTTTTTAAAGTAGGCCACACAGGGCGCTTCTTTGCATATGTGGAGCACCAACACAATGAGTCACTGCCAGTCATTTCCTTAGGGACCAGGGGAAATAGAGTGACACTGGATCCAAAACAAGGCCAGTTATTTTATGATTAAACACCCCTGGGCAATGAGGATGAAGTCAACCATCAGCAGAAAAACAAGAATTTGGGCTGCAGCAGTGGTTCACCTATCCACTCCACTTTTTGTCTATGCACTGACAGTATCTCTTTAAGTTAAGTCAAGCCTACATTTTTTCACTCTGAAGTCAACACTGTGTATCATTGTACCAGATTTTACAGGGTTTTTTTTACAGTCACTTTGGCACTTTTATTTATTGAAAACTGGCTTTTTTAAAACAGCATTTTAGTTTTCCTATACAAAAATCTCAGCAAAATGCAGTTTGGCATTCAAAACTGATCGATGACCCCCCCAAAAGCAAATTTTACCTTCAAAATCACACACAAACACAAACTCTCGTTATGTGTTTTCTATGCTCTTTCATTTATGTGACAAAGCAGCTCAGAAGTTTTAGTCCTGCTCTCAGTGACCACAGAGAATCACTGGTTTAGTACAGTCTGACACTAGGGTTCACACTTTGCACATATGATTTTTGGACAGGTCTAAAACCTGTCTGTATTGTCTTATGTAAAATATAAAAATACATTACCAATATCAAAGTAGATTTTACAATATATTTTACAAAAATATTTATGCAAAGGAAAACTGAAAGATGGTGGAATAGCAAATACATACTACGTTTGTACTGTAGTATATAATGTGTTCTTGAAAATCAAACAAAAGCTGTATCTGAAAATCTACATGTAGTCTACATGTTTGGCTCATGTGTGAAGTACTTTGCTGTTAGATTCTCTGTGAAAATTGGATAAATTCAAATTTTCAGTTCTGTTTGAGTTTCTATATTGAAAGTGACAGTTTGGGCCAAAGTCATTTACCACGGGAGACGAGGCTGAACAACAGGTTGAAAAAACAAGCTGAATTCACTGATCATATCACTGATGTGTGTCTGTGAATGAGAGCTGTGCCAAGTGTTTGGAGAAAGAGGCTGAGAACTGTGTGGAGTGATGAGAAATCCTCCAAATGATTTAACCTCCTGTGTCTTTGTTCAGATACAGGTTTGAACCAAATCATCAAACAAACAATGTGCCAAATGGTTGAAAAAAAAAGTTATGTTTTTAGAATTTCATCTATGACATAAACCAAATGATGTGGCTTCCTTTTCAATTTATACAACGTGTACAACAAAGATGGTTAGATAAAGATAAGAGAGAGAAAATGAAACTTGGTGCCACTGGTTTGACTACCTGACCTGAATACAGGGATGAGATCATTTGTGTTTTGATAATTACATGCTGCAGAAGAATTCCCCTCAAAATTGAGCGTCCACACAGGAGCAGAGACAGCAGACAGACTATCGCCACCAGGATGTCAAAGAACTCTCTTGCGTAATTCTCAGCTATTGAGAGGATAAAGTTACAAATGTGATAACATATAGACTACACAGTATTTGATCATTTCTCTTCTACTTACCATGACCGGAAACATTGGGGTCCTTACACTCTTTAATGGAGGCGTCGTTGTGCAGACTAATTTTGACTTTCCCACTGTGAGCGTGGTTGTCCATGACAATCTGAAAGTGAGCAGAATAAAACTCTTTGATAATTGCAAAGAGTAACATCATTGAATAAGGACAATTCTTGAGTTTGGTATAAAAAGTACATCTATAGGTTGCATTCATGTTCAAGAATTTGATAATGCTGTAATTTTAGATGAAGAACAGGAGCCTATAAATATGTAATGGAGATTCAGTTTTTGGAAGAAATGTCCAAATGCAAAAATGATTAATATTTTTATCATTGTTAATATCTTAATCTTATATCTTAAGTCCTTTCAACTAACAACATTCACATCTTTGGGCTAGAAGAATGGGACCACTTTCTGAAGCTGCTGTAAAATCACACGTTTCTTTATACTGACAAGATGTTGAAAGTTATGCCAGTTTTTGCTTCTTCTTGTTTAATATTAATATTTACAATCTGACAGTTAAAAGGCAAATTGCACCATATAATTCATTTCCAGCTAAATTTTTTAACCATAAGTATATTAGAATGTTGTGATGTCTCATGAATACAACCTATAAATACAAACACTCGGTTGACTGGATAAATATTTGTCCACTGTACCGTAATAGCAAAAGTGTAGCAGTCTGGTATTTCATTGTTCAAAATGGTCTGTATGTTTATAGCCTTTAGCTGGAAGTCAATGGTGACGTTGATCAACCTTGGGACAACAAAATGGTAAAAACTTCCAAAATGTCTAATGTTTAATCTGTTAATCTCTTTGTGAAAATAAGAACTTACTTGTAAAATTTCAAAGTAAAATTCTTGTAATCACTGTTTCCAGGAGCAGGATTAAAATTGTGAGGATTCACACCAGTGCAATCTGAGAAGGGACAACAAGTTTAGAAAGTCAGCTAATTCCTTTGCCAAAGTCACATACGGTAACTGAAGACTACTTTCCAACTTTCTCATAGTTGTTTAATATGTTTAAATTTAGCCTTAGACATTTATCACATTGTCAGGTGTGCAAATAAGTCAGTTCTCTTGGCAGAAGTATCGTGTTTAACTAATGAAGTGGATGGAAAAAAGCTACTGGCCCTTGACAAATGTGAAACATACTTTGCTATATGATAATATATATAAAACACAAAACTATTTTTTAAACCTATTATAAAACCCAGACTTAGGCTTACTGGTGACAACATGGGGGTCAATGTCGAATGTATCATTGACGGGGTCTATGGAGCCTCTCTTGAAGTACCTCTGACAAAGGGAGAGTGCACTGTCATCATAACCGACACCCAGCACGTACGCATACCGCCCCAAAGAGATCTGAGGCAGAGCCAGGTACTAAAGAGGAAACAAAATACACATTTCAGGGAACTGCACACTTGGGCTTTTAAATACAAATGAAAATTCATAAATATGATCATGTACTGCTCCATTTTTTACATACATTACAGTAGATAAGTGTTTAGTAATTGAAACACTTTCAATTTGTGCACAGTGTGATTTTCAAAATCTGGGTTTCAAGATTAAAATGCAAGATGTACTCAGAATTATTTTATTATTCTGTTCATAGAGTAAATGATTTACCGGTACTATGTTTAAGCACATAATGGTTGTTATTTATGCTTTAGTCTAATAATAATGGTAACTTTTACCTGCTCTATGGCGAAGTGAATGTGACTGTAGAGCTGGTCCTGTGAGTACACTTCCTGGGGATTGTTGTCCTGGTAACCCTTCAGAAAAAGGTGCTTAAACGCTGCAGTATTTTCATCCTTGAATGTCACCACCATCTGGTTGCTCAGGCCGAAAAGCACCAGCTACAAAAAGAGACACACAAGAGGGTCAACACAAAATACAAAACAGATTCATGGGTTAATGAAATAATCAGTCTGACAAACTAAGAGGGATACAAGTGAACCTTTGAAACTGTTGAATTAGATATTTTCTCTTTTCATTGCACTCTATATAGAACCATGGAACATATGTTATTGCAATGGCAGATTAGTAATTTGGGGAAAAAAGTTAACTCAAATCCCTTTGTCTTGAACTTGAGCAGGTTTGGAGTCAAATTGTATTAAGGTTTCAAGAGATTTGATGATGATATAAAAGTCCAGAAGACCACCTGCACAGTGACAATGATGATTTTCAGCAGCTGTAGACCCAGTTTGAAAGGCTTGCGACCCTTGGCATGGAATTTGTCACATGGGCTCATAAAGAAGTATTTGAGTTTCCTTCGCAGAGCTTCCTCATCCTCTTCCTCATGCTGCTGCTGGAAGCCGCAGCCCCCCAGTCCTCCACCAAGATGAGGGCCCCCATCACTGATCCGGTCCTGGGAGCCATATCCAGACACAGACGACAGCAGACGGTCCTTCTCTGACAAATATAAACACAAAGGGTTTATGCAACATAAAATGTGTATCTTCAAAATAATCCATTCAATGTCCATTTAACTTGTTTTGAAACATTAACCACAGAGACTAACACATTTCCTATTTAGAAACCATAAAGGAAGTAAAAATATTGGCTTCACTGTGATATTGCAACATCAGTTACATTTTACAGTATCAATGGGAAGCTGCAAGTTATCTGAATATCTGAAAAACAGATATTTGGATACTGTTACATTTCTACAATAAACTACAGTTATTTTATAGCACACTAACTTTAGACATTATAAATTAGCCCATCAATTTATGGACATTAATGAATATGAAAAGACAAACTATTGATCCACAAGGGAAATTATTTGGAGACAGCAGTTCATTATTACAATAAACAAAGAGAATTTGAATAAAACTAAAAATAACAAAAGTAGTAATAATGATAACACACGGCTTGTTACCAATAAAAATGACATTGTTTCAGTTTATTTTGTATAGCTATATTTATTGCTTATGTGTGTGTTATAAATGTGCGTAAAATAGCGGTCCATTTGGCCATGCCAGAATAAGATAAACTGTTTCGATCTCCACTGCCTTTGACATTTCCCTCATATTAATCCTACTGCATGTGGTATATGGAAATAATAGACGTGAAACAAAAAAACATTAGTGAGGCGTAGGACAGGTGAAAGGGATGAATGGGTCTAAACACAAACCTGTAGCAGTGTCCTGGATGTCGCTGTAAGTGGCAGACGCCATAATGATAATTACACGGTTACGGGACGATCATGACATTTTAAATGAATAAAGGCCCCTTGAAAATGACACAATTAAACGGCAGTAAAAAATGGAAATGGGAGATCTCGGCACTGCGAACCACAGGCGACAAAAGATAAACAACGCTGCTTCCGCTTGACCACGTGAACAGGTCACGTGACGGACGCCAGCGTCAAATAACAATGATAGACGATGAACGAGATGCAACTGAACAAATGCTTTTGTGTGAACTATAAATGTCTTTGGTAAAACGATGAGTCTTTTTTTTTTTTATGAAAGGTGTATTTTTAATTATAAAGGAAACTGACATTGACATCGCAACTCACGAGTAAGATAAAAAAAAAAAAAAATGAAACAAACACGCAATAAAATGTCTGTCACATAGTTAATAATTTTACAATGTGTCACTTTCTCATATATTGCTTTAGCTAACAAAGAACTGTAGGCTATCAAATCAAGACATCCATTTATTATTTTGTAGGAGTCAGACATTTTGTTTCATGATTCAGCAATAAAAAGGAAGGACATTCTGAACCTATTACAACAACTGTAACATTTAAGATTATATACGTGCTTGTTGTACATTGGCTCCTGCACTTGTCTCGATAGTACAGTGCATATTCACCCACACACACTGTTTTTCTATGGTCAAAGGGCTGAACTGGAACTACAATACTGGAAAAGAATTTGGTAATACAGTACTTGTAATGCAGTCACATACTTCCAATACTGGACACTTTGTAAAAAAAAAAAAAAAACATGATTTGAAATAAATAAACCTAGAAATGAGTCCTGAAATGAGCGGCATTACATTTGATCATCGTCCATCCAGCGCCTTGTCCCTGGCTATGACCGATTCATTGAACTTGATCATGAGTGTGGTGCCTTTGTGCCAGTGAGCAGTGACTTTGGCAGGGAAGCCGCTGTGTGTGAGAATAGCCTCCAAAATCCCCGCCGTGAAGGATGCACAGTTGAGGCTGCTGTTCTCCTTAGGCACAGATATGTAGGCGTTAATCAGAGGATCCTTCTCTATAATATAATAAGTCTTGTCATCATCATTGGCTTGCTCCAGCTTATCGGCTTCTTTTCCAAACAGGGATTTCCACACATTCACCTGGAGCAAAATGAAGGAAGAGGATGTGTTAAACCATTCTGGAGAGAGCCTGTCTATCACAATAAAAGGCTGCGTCCATGTCACATCGCAAAATTCCAATACAGAACCAATACGTAAATAAACAGTACAAAAAAAAATGTCTTAGATTCATGAGTTTCAGCTTCCTGTTTATAAATGATACTGAAGATTTTTGCCCAAACCAAAGAGTTGTTTTCACTTGTTACTGCTAATTGCTATGGCAGCGGTGCTAGATTTTCTTCACAAGATGTTGAAATAATAAAATAGGGTTTAAGTTTATGTTTATTTATATGGAAAGCCACAAAATCACAAGGTATATATTGATGAGGCCCACTTATAGACCTAATCCCCAACAACAAGTTACAGTGAATCAGCTAGTTGCGCCCTGTTCTTCATCTGAAATTATGACGTAAAATTTTAGGACGTGAACACATGATACTGTGTGATGATATTGCCAGTAATAACATTTCACCTTAATGAACAGCAGCATGTTAAGCACTTTGGTCTCCCTCTTGCCGTTCTTCTCTCTGAGCACCAGCACATCCAGCAGACTGGCCCCCACACTCTGGCCCATCTCAGAAAGTCGAGACTGCAGCTCTGTGACCGAGTACACGCGGCTCTGACAGTACTGCACCATCTCAGAGAAGAGCAGGGCGAACGCGCTCACGCTCACTTCTGTCTTAGGCCGGGTCAACGGACGCTCCAGGATGGTGGACTTTCCTTTAGTAAAACGGTTGTCCATTTTAATCTGAAAAAGACAACATTGCAAGTTTTAAAAGCAGTAATAACAGGGTGACTATCTGTGCTTCTTTTGGTCGTCCCTCATCCCACTTATTTAGTATCTGGTGTTTCATTGTTGCCACATTAATTAATTTTATATAGAAAACATGATCAGAACTGAAAATCATATGGTGTTATTGCAATTCTCAATGAGCTTAGTTAGACATTTTTTGTAATGGTGAGTTTATTGCAGAGAATGTGAGACAAAGCCTGCACGCTTACTCCCAAACTGCTTTTAATACATGTTTTGGTCAGTGGATCTTCATCAGGTCATTATTAAAACCAGTTTGGGAGTAAGTGTGCAGGCTTTGTCTCACTTTCTATCAGACGTGGGACCAAGTCTTTGTTTTGCATGTCTCAAGTAAGTCTCAAGTCTTTGACCTCAAGCCTGAGTCAAGTTCCAAGTCAGATCCAGGCAAGTCCAAGTTGAGTCTCGAGTCACTGGCCCATAAGTCCAGTTCAAGTCCAAGTCGTCTGCTTTGAGCTTCAAGTAATTTCAAGTCTTTAAACTAAAGTACCAAATACAGCTTAGATTTTTGCAAGTTATTTGTCTTTTAAGATAAATTGTACTTAAAAATAATTGTATATTTATATATGAGTATTTATATAAAAGATGTAGAAATTAATTTAGTAAATTTTTCCTTTTTAAATGTCTGGACAATATCTTAGTGTGAATCATTATGGTCAAAATAGAAAGAATTGAGATTTAACAGTGCTTCTCAAGTCTTCTCAAGTCACGGGCCTCAAGTCATTGACCTTCAAGTCCAAGTCGAGTCCCAAGTCTTAGTCCATTTGATCAAGTTAAGTCTCAAGTCCTAAAAATAGTGACTCAAGTCTGACTCGAGTTCAAGTCACGACTTGCAAGTCCCAACTCTGCTTTCTATGTTCACTGTAGTAGCCTTGCACGAGTGATCTGCGTATACCTACATCTTTTATGATATACGTATACAGTTTATGATATAGTTTATTGCCGAGGTCAGATGACATTCAGTGATAATTAATATTAAAGAAACTTGGCTGTCTGGCTGTTGTCTCTTCACCTCTCTCAGCGCATCGATACGACTTGGACAAATTAGTACATTACAAGATGAAAATATTTATATCGCATTTATTTCGTGCACCATTTTTTTATAGTGTCAACCATGTCAACCCATACAAGTATGTGATAGCAAGAGCACTGGCATGACTTTAGCATAGTGACTACAAATCGCTGCTTAAAACCATCAACATTTCAATTGTAGCTTCACGTGAACCAAAGTAAATACAGCCTCACGATAATATCACTTTCAGTTTGATTATAAAATTAAATAGTTCCATGTTATTATTAATAAAATACCTTTATTTATGCCACTTTCCTGCAGCTATCCCTTTCCTCTTCTTCTTCTTTTGTACTTTAGCTCTAGCGCCATCTGCTGGAAAGATAGAAAGATAATACTGTATTTAAATGATGGATTGATTTTTACAGAGCAATTTAATTTACTTTATCGCTTTGGCACATTTAACCACTTAAAATTGACAGCTCAAACAAAATCCTAAACAGTATTTTAGTTTTCTTAAACAACATTTAATCTCAGCTAAATGCAGTTTTACATTCACAACTAATATAATGAAGGTAAATGCCGACTTTACCTATAGCAAAGTAGATTCTGCAGTGATCAAAAATATTTTAATGAAAAAAAAAAAAGAAAGAAAGAAAGAAAGATGTTGGAATAGCAAATACATCAAAACTACTTTTGTACTGTTGAAAATTATACAAGACGTGTACACATCTCACAGTGTGTAAATATGTGTGTAGTCTGTACAGTCTGTACTCACTGATGAGACTCTTCTCCCTTTTTGACACATCCTTTCCAGTTAAATTTTTTGTGCTCAGTTATAGAATGTGGCCTTCATGTTTGAGTTTCTGTATTGAAAGTGACAGAATTTGGGAGAAAGAACTTTAGCACATGAGAACAGAACTGTAGTGTTGAAAAAACAAGTTGAAATCACTGATCATGTGTGTTTGTGAATGAGAGCTGTGCCAAGTGTTCTGTGAAAGAGCCTGAGAAATGTCCCGAATGTTCCAAAGGATTTGACCACCTGTGCCCCTGTTCATATACAGGAATGATTAAACTATGCCAAGTTTCAAAAAAAAAAAAGCGGACGAAAATGGATGGATGGATGGAAGTTTCAAAAAATGTACTAAAACAATTGAAAAACAAAACAAAACTGTAAACACAACAAAATCTAAAATAGATGTCAAATACTTGTCAAATAATGTTTGTGAAAATTTGTTGATAAATAAAAGTAAACTATGGATGCTGAGGGACTCCTGTGATCAAATTTTGGACCAGGATGAATAACTGACCATTTTAATTGTTTTTTATTTTTAAAATTTTCTCTAATATTATAGCTTTTGGCAGTAATTCCACTGCATTATATAACATCTTTAATTGTGGGAACCGTTTCCATACCTTCCTCTTTTCAGCAGACAGATTTGTGCCAGACCACTGCTGTGTACATCCCAGGCAAGATCTTATTTTGCAACAACAGGCTTCCTGATTTGTATGTCACGCAATTAAAAACAAAAAAATTAACAAGTGATCATTTATGATGCCCTGTTGCAAGACTACTTTAGTATATCTTTAGTACATTATTTAGTTAAGGATAAAAGTTAAATAAATATGAATATAAATATTTTCAACAAAGCATAGAGTGGCTAATTTGAGGAGTTATCCAACATTTTGTTCTTTGCTACATAATTTCATACATCTTACTTCATGTACTAGTATTTAATGTCTTCCGTATGTGTATCAAATGTAGAAAGTAGTAAACATATAGAATAAACATTGAATGACAGGGTCCAAACTTTTGAATGGTAATTGTTATTATACTTATTATATAAAAAACAGAAAAGATGTGAAGCCAATTTGCCAGATGAGCAAACTCAGCACAGTTCTTGGTTAAGTGAATGCTTTGTTTGAGTAATTGTATTTGAGTAATTCAGTTCCCACAGTAAAGTGTAAAACTTGAGGAGTCTCCAACATATATATTTCTGCAACTTCAGCATACGTGAGTCACTAGTGGTGGGGTTTCCAAATGGCATGAGAATGGACAGTAGGACATGCATTACCAAACAGAGGACTGCCATCAATGTGCACAGTTCCTATAGTGGTTGAAGGTATTCCAGTAACATTCAGAACTTACTTTTGCATTAGCAAATCCAAAAATGGTACAAACAACGGCGTCTGATTTGCAGGTGTGAGTTTCCCAGATTGCTTGTTTGCAGTTTGCTTACGGGCTGATTATTTCCCTGTTACGTCAGCAGTGGGTTTGATGAACTCTATATATACCGCTCACACAACATCGTTAGGCATCAGGAGGCCGACACAGAGGTGATTTGAGGATAGGAGAAAAGTCATAGAAGATGGCGAACCAGTGGAGATGCACCTTGGTACTTTTGGGAGTCCTACTTGTTTTGGGCATAGAAGGTAATATATATATTTTTTTAAATTAGAAACAAGTAATGTAAGTAACTTTTTATTTATTTATATAGTGCTTTCCACAGACATATGTCACAAAGACGCTTTATAGAGTAAACAATCAAGACAACACTCTAGTGCACTAATAGTATTTACTTTAGATCTACAGCTATTCTGCCACAGTATGCTGTTTGGAGAAGGAAAAAATATTTTTTAATTTTCTTTATTCAAAGGTCTGTCTAGTTTACCTCCATGTAATTACTAGTGAAAGCCATTTTCATTTGTTTTGATAGGAAAATATAATCAATATCAAAAGAATATCAATAAACTTGTGGGGGAAACTTTATTCTTTTTCTGTGTAGCTCTCAGTAAATGCACTATTTCTGAGCAGGTTTTACTTACTCATTCTTGTCTAAAGAATATGTGAACTGTAATTATGGATTGAAAATACCACCATATATTCAGTGGTTCACTTCAAAAGATCGAAAAAGCAGAAATTTTCAATTGAAAATTGGCATTTGTAAAACTGTTCACAAAAATTCTTAAACATAATGAAAAAAAAAAAAAAAAAAAAAATATTGGAGTGCTGCACTGGATCAAAACGTATGCATACAGGTGCTCATCAGACCAGAAGCCTTGAATTCTAATACTAATTTTATAAAACAAATTTTCATTTCAGCAAAATGCTGATTTTCATTAATTTCATTTAAGTTTCTCTAAACAAAACTTTGGCTTAACAAAATGCAGTTTTACAGTCAAAACTGATCAGTCAGCCTCCAAAAGCAAATTTTACAAGTAAAATTTGTGTGTTTTTCTTTTCTCTTTCCTTCATTTGAACCTCAGAAACCACCTGACCTCAGAAGCCTTAGTCCTGCTCTTAGTGACCACAGATAATCACTGGTTTAGTGGTGTCTGCCATTATGGTTCATACATATACTTTACACACAATATTTTGGACTGCAAAAGCTTTGAGTTTTAGTCTAAAACATGTCTGTAGTAGATTTTGCAGTATTAAGAAAAATGCTGAAAAAAGATGCTGTAATAGCAAATACATTAACACTACTTTTGTACTCTAATATTTAATGTGCTGCTGAAACTGGACATTTACACATCTCACAGTGTGTATATCTGTGTGTAGTCTCTATATTCATACATTCTGTGCTCTCTGTGGAGACAGTTCTTCCTGTTGGACACATGTGTGAAATCCTTTACTGTTAGAATTTTGGTGCTCTCAAATTGTTCATTTTTGCCATTGTTTGGGTTTTTGTATTGAAAGTGACAAGACTAATGTCCTTTACCATGTTAAAACAGGCCTGTAGTATTGCAGAAACAAGGTGAATTCATTGATCATGTATATTTGTGAATGAGAGCTGTGTCAAGTGTTGCTGTGTTGTTGTTCACACAAGTGTCATTGGTCACATGTTTGAATCAAATGATCAGACTAAACCAAATTAAAAAAAAAAAATTGAAAAAAAAGTTAAATACATAAAAAATAAATAAATTTTCTCATTTAAGTATTCTGTAGCCAGTGATGGGAAGAATACTTTGAAAATGTATTTAGTAATACTGAATATCTGGATGAAAATGTATTTTGTGACCTATTCCAAAACTTGGACCAATCATAGTACTGTACTCTGAATACTTACAATACTTTTACATTTAGTCCCATTGAAATTAAAATATAAAGATCCAACATAGGATTAAACTCAGCTTTATGCTTGTTTCACCATTTGTTATGCATTTCCTGTCACTAGTTGGAAAAGTTAAAATCACACATCCACGTATCATACAAGTGATGTTTTGTGTGTTCATTAATTCTGTGCAGTTTAAGCCTCAATTGTGTTGATTTTAGAAAAACATATCAGAATACCATTACTAAGAGTTAGTATTCAGAATACGTATTCTCGGTACATGTATTTAGTTACTTTCCAGCACTATGTGCAGTGTGATTTTTTCACAAAGAGGACCTTATTTAGTTTACAAATAATTTAGTTACATAAATCTCCATTAGGGCCCCGCGGCCCAGTGGTGTGAACATGTGTTTTGGTCAAATCTGTAAGCATATTGACTCTTCATGAAACCAATTTTGTATTTATATTTTCTTGTATTCATATCTTTTATATCTTTTATTTTTCTTATATCTTTTATATTTTTATTTTCTTTCAGCCTCATCCCGGCACATGGATGACTTCATCAAGGCCCTGAAAGAGCTGGAGGACAGCAATCCTGATCTGAGGCCTGTAGATTTACTGAGGGCCATGCGTAATGCAGCTGGCCTCTCTGACCCTTTGATCCAGCACTACCTTGGAAAACCCACGTCTGCTTCTCCCCTCCACTCCAGTGTGTCTAAATACCTGATCTCCGCTCTTCAGTACAACATCACTGACAACAATCAAGAAGTTGGCGTTGTATTCACTAGAGATGGCACCACTGTGGCATTACGGCCTCTTCTTCTGGGCATTGAAGCTGGCTTTTTCCACAGACTTTGGTGGGATGTCCAAAGCTCTTCTGTAACCACAGAATCACCCCAATATGAAGAGCTAGGCCCTGATGGTTGCTGGGACAACCTTACCAATCCTCAAAGATTCACTCTCACACACAAGCCAAATTTGCTCACTACTGCCCAGGTCAACGGAGGAATGGATGGCGTCATCTTGGCCCGTGAAGCGCTCAAATCTCCATCTCTTAAGCTCAGTGCTTTGTTGTCGCTGTACTATAACCACCAGCTGGATGAAAGAGGCTTGGACGCAGCACCACGCATCATCAGCCGGCGCCGCAGAGACAACTTCAAAGAGTTGATGGAGAGCTCTGAGGGGAGCCTGGGTGTCCTGAGGATGGAGGCAGTGACTACAGTTGACATGCACAGAAGAATGAAGGGGCAAAAGAGCATGAACCTGCAGGAGAAGAAGCAAATGATGGCTGTGATTAACAACAGGGTCAAGGAGCTACTGCAAACCTACGCCGGTAAGATTACGTCATTATTCATCTGTCTTCCCTCACATGGCCACACAGAATTAAACATAGATCATTCACACTGTTGGAGAGTTTATTATACATCAGTAGAGCGATGTTCATTTACTAAGCAAAACGTTTCAAACCCTACAAGCAGCACTGGATACTACTGCTGTTGTGTCTTTAAGCAAGACCCTTGTCCTTGTTTGTCAAAATGTGTTACTGTGTGATTGGTGTTGTAAATGTAAATTGCAAAATAATATGGGTTGTCTTGGAATTTGAACTTAACAAAGCATATTTAGTATATTCGATCATTCTGTTTCGAGGAAAAAAGAAATTGCAATATAATCAGAGCAATGCCCTGCCTTTATACTTGTGATGAAAAATACTGGCGCCTCGTTTTAAGCTTTAAATAGACTTGTGGCTCCCTCTTGTGGTATTACTTTGAACTAAGCAATATAAAATAACCTTGCACAAATAGTTTCGAAATTTTAAACCATACTTAAAAGTCGTAACCAGTACATAAAAATCATCTAATGATAGACAAACTGGTATTTTTCAATAATTGGTGGTAATTATGTAATTAATGCTACAGAATTTATGAAAGTAATAAGCTGCATTTGGGGTGTGGTAAGAATGATACCACGAAATTAAACATTGACTTGACTTGACATAATCACTGCGCACTGAGACTAATTGCAACAGCTTATAATTAACTATGACTAACCTCAAAAGGAAAGCAAACACATGAATAAAGTAAGTACGTAAGTTAAATATTAGATCATCCTTAAAGTACTGCGTTTTACAGATAACATTGCAACTGATTTAATTTTTGTTTTTAAAGACTTATTTTTTGAAGTTGTATGATGAAAACACTGAACTCTAAATTAAACACAAGTATATATTCTTTTCAAAAGTAATTATATTTTCGAAAGTATATTTTATTTTCTTTCTCTTTCATTCTGAATTCTACACAATAACAATATTTCTGGTCACTCATGCATATTTTTTGTTGTTGCAGACTGCGCTCCCATTATCAAGCGCTGCACATGGGGCGCAGAGCCGTACAGGGGCACACCCACCTACCTGGGCCTGCCCCTGCGCTACCTGTACATCCACCACACTGCCCAGCCCAGCCAGCCCTGCCTCACCTTCGACCAGTGCGCTGCAGACATGAGGTCCATGCAGCGCTACCACCAGAACACCAACGGCTGGGCTGACATCGGATACAGGTGACACAGTAGAAACAAAAACATTACGCTAAAAGCTGTTACATGAGCTTCTTTAAACATCTGCAGAACAATCACAGCTGAACCAGGGAGACCATTAGATATTTACCCAAGACACATATCAAAGAGACTTTTTGGGTTTTTTTGCAGCCTGGCTTTAGGATGGCATTCAGGAGTTTATCCTACTTCCTAACTGAATAAAAGACAAACCAAATTGGCTGATAAGCATAAACAACTGGGAAGTAAATGTGTTTGTAAATCTGAATCAGTCAGCGTTCAAATGACAAAACTGTTTCTAATTTGATCATCTCTTCATATGAGCAGAGATTCTATATGTGGAATATATACAGAAAAAAAAAACATTTACAAAAACCCATAACATGCTACATAGGTCTCCAGAACAGTTGACAGTCATGGTCAGTTAAATACAATCAATTCAATCATTAAAAAGAAAGTGAAAATGAAAGTGGTGTGTGCGTGAGTGATGGTGGTGGTCGGAGGGACCGATGGCGCCGATTGGCTTGGCAGCCACCCCCAGGGCAGCTGTGGCTACAATAGAAGCTTACCATCACTAGGTATAGAGTGAATGAATAATGCTGAATAATGCTCTGTAAAGCATCTTTGGGGACAAAAAATGTCTGTGAAAAGTGCTATATAAATAAAGACTTACTTACTTACTTACTTATTTACATTGTTCATTAAATCCCACTGTTTGTCTTGACAGTTTCGTTGCTGGTTCTGACGGTAACCTCTATGAAGGCCGTGGATGGAACTGGATGGGAGCGCACACTGCAGGACAAAACTCCATTAGCTATGGTGTTGCCTTCATAGGAGACTACACCAGCGTCCTTCCCTCGGGACAGTCGTTGGAGCTGGTGAGGAATAAGTTTACCACCTGCGCTGTGCGTTTGGGTAACCTTGTGTCCTCGTACATTGTGCATGGACACAGACAGGCGTCTGCAACCTCCTGCCCCGGAGACGCTCTCTACAGGCAGATCCAGTCTTGGGAGCACTTTGGGTACTAAACCATCCAAAAAAGAACAACACTTAAATAAAACATAATGCAACAAAAACAACAAGTTGTTTGTGTTTCATTGTTTTGTCATTAGAGTAGTAGCTTTGGTCTATGGTCTATATCATTACAATGATAGAGGGACTACTGTCATCAGGAGTACTAAAGGATTCACTTGTGCTGCTCTGTTACATGAAAAAAAATAACATAGACCTAATTACATGATGAAAATGTCCTATCATCCCACCACACAAATATAAATATAATCATTCAATCTAGCTTCCAATGAATCCCTAAGGGGTAATTTAAGCACATTGAGCAGTTACAATAACAGAATGATTTAAGGGAAGGTTTGTAGATTAACACTCTCTGTGTCCTGCAGCCAGCCCAGAAATTGGCGTCCAGGGAGCCACGGGAATTCTGGAGAATGTTTTGTTATTGTTTAACACATACACATATTATATTACAATTATTAGTTAATTATGGTTTATTACTTCCTTCTTTGGATACCACCAGAGGGCGCAACACAAAAAATGCTGAATATTGAAGGAAATATCTTCGAAGAGAGCAGCTTGCTTTTAATGGGTTATTAGCCCAGTCTGCAGGTCATTGTTGTTTAGTCTTGATATTTACAATTGAAATAACTAGTTGGCTTAAGTCTTTGCCACTACATGCCAGGCATGGAAGTATAATAAGATACATGATGCCATGCTAAAACCCAAACATGTGGGTGTTGTGGTAAAAGTTGAACTCCCTGAACTTGCCCTCTGAGTGTTACTCGAACTCTCCCACTGGTCTCCCTCCTCCTCCGCATCGACGTTACGCACGCAGCCGTGGCGTGCCTCCGAGCCAAATAACATGGAGTCCTCCGCCTGGCATCTCCGAAGGAGCCATGCAGGAGCCCGGATCGGTGTTTAGCCGAGCCCCCCTTCGTCCCTTCGGCAGAGGGCAGGCACGGGCTCTCTATCCGCAGCTCTGGGGAAGCGCTTCGGCTCTGTCTTCAACGATGACGAACGCAGTTTAAAACAGCGTCTCCAAAAAGTGCTATCCGCAACGCAGGCCAATTCCAGTGAGTACTAAAAAACTGCAGTTTCAGGGCGTTTGGGGATTACAGACAGCGGTGCACGGATGCATTGTTGAGAAAGTCACCTGACGAGGACAAGATCGATACAAGTGTTTTCAGGGAAGCGACAGACAGACAGCTAACTGTGAGCTGTGCAGCAGCCAGCGGTATGTCCAGGGTGATGTACCCGGCCATTGGGCCGCTTTGAGAGGGGCAGGAGCAGGCAGAGAGGAGACGGGCCTGGAGGAAAGGCCACTTGTTTTTTTATGTAAGTGTATGAAGACCAGACATTTTGAGAAAATGGGTCAAAGCAGAGATGTTGTCATGGGCTTAACGCTGGGGGCAGAAGTCTGGAAGTGTCAGGAACAAGTGGCCATTAGTGGCCATTAGAGCGAGTTAGTCCTGGTTTAAGGTACTCAAAGAAGTTTGAATGCAGGTGTTCCCATATAGGCAATGTATTATACTGACCTCAATATGATAATACATCGGTACATCTTAAGACCAGTTTATTTTATTTTATTTTTTTTTATTTAATTGGTCCTTATCTTTATTAAGATGCTGCAGCTGCATCATCACTTTGCCACTAACAAATAGGAGGCCTACATTAAACAAGATTGACAAATATTCACATGGACAAAACTTAGCGTACTTTCCATCAGGGGGTGCTGAGGATTTAATCATCATCTATAATTTTAGTGAACGTTAAGAGTTGGCCAGTGGCTCTCAAATTTTCCATATTAAACACCACCAAAGAAAAGATCTGCTTTCCGAGTAGGTGTCACCAAATCTAAGCCAGTATATAACAAAACTATTCCAGGTATCATCAAGGGCTAAACCGGCTCCAAAAGTGGACTACATACTTTCCACTGTTGGTCTAAACAAGAAATTATCCAACAAAATGGATACACTTACACAGTTAGATAAGCCCACATACCGAAAAGCTGTCCAAGTACCACCTGAAGGAGCTTGGTACCACAGTGGTAAATGTACCACAAACACTGAAGTATAATGTAATGAGGTCAAACCTGACTGGTTCTGGTTTAGTCATAACATTAGCTACCAGACATATTAATACTTGCTTATTGTTCCTTACCAGTTGTTTCTCACATAGCCAAATAAATGGATGGATAATTTACAAATAAATCTGATCAAGTGATAAGATATGACAAGTTTATTCATATTGTCAATAAACTTAACAAAATCACAATGTAGCGCTACATCTTCACAGTGTAGTACTCTCCCATTGTGATGTTGTGTTGTTTTTTATGATTCCAGAAGGACCCAAGATTGCACCATGTAGGCAGACTCCTTGACGGTGGGTTGCCATACTGCTCTCTGGGGGGGACCATGGAGCCAGAGGGCCGATCCCCCACCCCAGGGACCAGCTATGGGCCCCTAGATTTGCACGCACAAAGCCCTCCACCAACCTCCTTTACCTTTGACGACAACTCTACTCTGCAGGTACATAAACAGCAGTTACTGTACCTAATGTCATGGTCTATGCCTATGATATTCCATTACTGACTTTCAGTTGTGGTGTGTAGTGTAACAAGAGCCACTAAATACATAAAACAACTTTTTCATTGACATGGCATAACTAGGTGCAACAGCATTTTGAGCTCTAATAATAAAGAGTTACTGAAACATGTGTGAATGAAACAGAACACAACTCCAGGTCTGTTTTTAATGAAGAAACATTCCAACATGATTTAAAGTTCACAAGAGTAACTTTTGCATAATATAGGACCTTTTAATAAAGGGCTCTGAATCCTGACCAATTCAAAATAATTGTGTGTGTCTGTCTGTGCTAGCTCTCATGTTCTCCAGATAAACAAGATGGTCCAACTTCTGCCAAATGTGAGCAGACCGAGGGGGCAGAGACAGGAGGAGGTGCACAGTGGAGAGCCCGGTCCTCTGCCTTCCCCTCCTCACTGAGCTGGGACTCCGACTCAGAGAAGGAGACACTGGATGGTAAGACACGTGCTTAAAATGTTTATGCAAAATATGAACAGATAACATGTACTCTTGACATTCTAATAAAGTAGCATCTAATTACATGTTTATATTACAGCAAATATAGCCGACATTTATGTATGTAGATAGGGAGATATTAGATGCAAAGATTACACGGTGTAGGAGGAGCAATTTAAGGAACAAAACATAATGTATCGAGGTACACGTATTACTTACTTCAAAATGATTCCGTTTTACATCAGAGCCGACACAAAGATGACACATGAAAGAATTCCCGCTGAGAGGTTTGCTATTTTTAGGTTTCATTATTATAAATGATGCCACTTGACAATGTGTCGTCCTTTGTGTTAAAATCTGACTTGAAGTTAAATTGAAAAGTTGTTAAACTGGTTCTATTTTTACTTGTGAATAGATAATTTATTCAAAAACATAATGTGCTGCACTGCCAGTGTTAACAGCCACGACACCCTGTGCATCTGTAAATTAAATTCAAAGTTCAAAGTTAACTTTATTGTCAATTTCTTCACATGTGCTAGACATACAAAGAAATCGAAATTAAGTTTCTCTCTATCCCATGGATAGACAGACAGGACAAACAATAAAGGGACAGTCCAGAATTTTGGACATAGGACCTCATTTCCTAGTGAGACAGATTGTTGGAGACGTGTGGAGACACTTTTTTAAATATTGCATTCAGTCCTTGTATTTGCAGAGGTCGCTGGTGCTAGGCTAGTGCATGTCAATGGCCATAGTTAGCCTACCACTAAGCACCCACTCCACAAAGCACCCGAAACAAATTTATTATAACGCCAGACTGTTGATGTGAATGTCTGTGTTCATAGAATGATTTTAGAAGTAAAACCGACCTTGCATTTGAAGGATTTATATCTGAGCAGCAGCAGTGAGTTGTACTTCCTGATAGAAGGCTCGGCAGCAGTGGACTGATATCACCTAACACGTACCTTACCGGCAAAGTAAAATTCCGCTGCTGCTGAAAAAATAGTCCCTCAACATGTGACGATTCATGCAATGCAAGGTTAGTTTTATTTCAAACATTATTCTATCAACACAGACATTTACATCAATAATCTGGCGTAATAATTGTTTTGCTTCGGGTGTTTTGTGGAGTGGGTAAGACTGTTTTTAGTGGCAGGATAAGTATGGCCATTGACATGCACTAGCCTAGCACCAGCGACCTCTGCAAATACAAGGACTGGATGGAATATTTTAAGAAGTGTCTACACACGTCTCCAACACTCTGACTAACTAGGAAATGAGGTCCTATGTCCAAAATTCCAGACTGTCCCTTTAAAGCACAAGACAGGACAACATTTATGTGCACAGACACAACAAATAGCATCATCTCTAACCACTACAATAACCAAAAGTAAAAGCAAAAGTAAGAATTTAGCATCAAAGAAAGTATATCCTAGTACAACCAAATGTAATAGTCATAGTTTTAAAAGGCATATTGATACTTTGCAGTTGATGTCATCAACATTCCTTGGAAGTGTGATGCTAACTGGGGGCATTGCTCTGTCTGAAGCTCTGTAACTCAAAATAGACTTTAATCAGATTTTTAATTTAGCGCAATTTGACCAGAAAGAACTGACTTAGCTGAAACTAAGCCGAAATTGTAAAACCTTTTTGGCTGTTTACTAATGTGTGCACTATGTCACATTCTGCCATACAAATACATGTAGAACACCCCCAAGCGTGATGTCAAGTATCAATAGATTGTTTTGGGTCAAGGTTAATTTTAATTTTCATTCTTTGCTACAATTATTAAATACATTTGATGTCCGTTTGAAGTTACCAAGGCTTTTAACATGCACTATAGATTTGTAAAATTAGTTGTGGACAAAATTGTTGGTACCCCTCTGGCAATGAAAGCAAAATCGACCATCATCACTGATATAACTTGAAACTGATAAAAGCAATAATAAATAAAAATTTACTGAAAACTGTCCAGTGGAAATCAAACATTGCTTTCACTTGTGGTTAAACAGAATTATTAGAAAAAACAAAATAATGAAACTGGACTGGACAAAAATGATGGTACCCTTAAAGTAATATTTTTGTTGCACAAGTTTTGAGGCAAACTCTGCAATCAAACAGTTTCTGTAACTGTCAATGACACTTCTGCAGAAGTCAACTGGTATTTTGACCCACTCCACGTGAGCCAACTGCTCTAGGTGTCTCAGGTTTGAAAGGACTTCTCCAGACAGCATGTTTCAGCTCATTTCACAGATGTTCAATAGAATTGAGATAGGGACTCACAGAAGAATACTCCAGAACAGTCCAATGATTTGTTCTTTGCCATTCTTGGGTGTTTTTAGCTGTGTGTTTTGGGTCATTGTCCTGTTGGAAATCCCATGACCTACAACTGAGACCAAGCCTGCTGACACTAGTCAAAACAATTTCATTCCTTAATACCTTGATGGTTTTGAGATTTTGTTGTACCTTGCAAAGATTCAAGACACCCTGTGCCAGATGCAGCAAAACAGCCCCAGAACAAAACCAAGCCTCCTCCAGGCTTCGCAGTAGGGACAGTGTTCTTTTCTTGGTGTGCTCCATTTTTGCATCTGTGAACATAGAGCTGATGTGTCTTGCCAAGAGTTCCAGTTTTGCCTCATTTGTCCAAAGGACATTCTCCCAGAAGCTTTGTCTTGTCAATATGCATTGTGGCAAATTCCAGTCTCAGTTTTTTATGATTTGCTCTCAACAGTGGTGTCCTCACATGAAGTCCACTTTGGCTCTAACAGTGATGGATGGTGTGATCTGACACTGATGTACCTGGTCTTTTGAGATCAAATTTAATTTGTTTGGAGGTTGTTCTGGGCTCTTTTGTTACCATTTGTATGATCCATCTCTTTAATTTGTCATCAATTTTCCTCTTGAGGCCACGTCCAGGGAGTTTGGCTATAGTCCTGTGGACCTTAAACTTCTGAAGAACATGTGCAACTTAAATCACAGGAACATCAAACTGCTTGGAGACGGTCTTATGGCCTTTATCTTTAACCTGCTTGTCTATCATTTTCTTTTTAGTCTCCTGACACAGTTCTCTTCTTCACTTTCTCTGGTCCATGTTCAGTGTTGTATCAATCATGTCTCCAAAAGGCACAATGACACATGTCTCCCTTTAAACAGACAGACTGACTGAGCACAAGTTTGAAGACACCTGTGATGCAGATTAAAGGACACGTCTATGTTTAACATGTCCCTATTGTTCAGTTGTCTAGGGGTACCATCATTTTTGTCCAGGCCAGTTTCATTAGTTTGTTTCTTTAAATAATTCTTTTGAACAACAATTCAAAAACAGTGTCTGTTCGGCTATTTTTCAGGATTTTTTTATTTATTATTACTTTTCTTAGTTTAAGGTTATTTCAGTGAAAATTTTTTATTTTTCTTTCATTACCAGAGGGGTACCAACAACTTTATCCACGTCTGTATATGTTATGTATGTCACATTATAAATTTATAGTGCAGGACACAAGATGTTCATGTATTTAATGTTGGCTTTCCGTCTGTTCCATGTGTCAGAGGAGGAGCTGACCCACCTGTCGAACCCTCATGGTCTGGCTGCTCACAGCCCTGGGTCACCCTCCACAGGACTCAGGTGAGGGGCAGGGACACCAAAAGGTGCATTTTGTATCTACTACTGAATTACTAGTATGTACTGTATGGAGGTTGGTGTTGGTCCCTACACTATGTTTCTTGATGGAATCTAAATATCAAATCCTCTGTTGACAGTCACAAAATGTCCTGTAAATCTTGAACAGTGTTTCATTTTGTTGCCAACCTCTGCTGAAAATGTTTCTTTATCTTTATCTTTAGTAACTTAGAATCACAGTCTATTTGAGAATTTTAATGTGCTGATCTATTGTGTTTGTTCAGATCTCTAGTGGTTTTCTGATTGGTTTGTGTGATGTATAGAGGTATTGACTGAAAAATACCCACCCACGTAGTAACTTCTCTTATTTTGATAATATGTGCAAATCCTTTACCAAAAATAGCACTCACATGCCTCCCTTGTCCTACATATAGTATCTTTGGCCTAATAAAAAGCAATTGCAACACTTTGATTTGCTCATGAAAATGTCACTGCTTTCACTGCTGCCTAGACTTGAATGTGAAGACAGCCAAGAAACAGAGCAAGTGCGGCCTGTGTCCAGCCAAGAGGAGGGGTCGGACAAGAGCACAAGGAGCACAAACACTCAAGAGCCAAAAACTTCTCAGCTCAGTGCAAACCAATGTGAGTACAAACCAGTGATCATAGCAACTGGGGATCTTGTAAAATACTGTTATGACATGGTAACTTGGTAACTAATGAATTAATGAAGCAAAAGACTAATGAAGCAAAAAAAGTAACTCCATTGGGGGAGAGTTTTTCCGTGTAAAGGCAAAGCAATAATAGTAGCTTACCAAAGTACTTAGGGTCAGAAAGCACCTTTATATAACATTATTATTTACTCCATATTTGGTGGTGGTAAGGCACAATTGTAGCCAAAACTGAGGCAGAGTGACAGAAGTTAGACTGGCAGTCTGCTATAGACCTCTAAGACAGCAATCATTCACACGCACAACAGATTCATAGGCAATCATGTGAGTGAAGTGTCTTGCCCTAGGACACAAGTACTATGCACTCACTACAGCACCTGGTATTTCTATATAGCTGTGTAACCAGGCTCAACCTGGCTTAGCTTCTGAGATCTGACGATATTGTGCAGTCTCAAGGTCGTACGGTTGTAAATAATTGGAAAATTACATTATAGCAGTTCACCTTTTACTAGCTAACAGTGAATTTTTTACGAAAGAAAAAAATGTAACACAGCAGCATTTCTGCCCATAGCTTTGAGTTTATAAACATTTAAAAATATTACTGCCCTGAAAATTACCACAAAAATAAAGCAGAACAAGTTACTATTTATCTGAATGGGGGGACCGAGGAATTCAGTGGCAAAGTAGTTAGTCCTTATTGTTTCTATGTACTGGCCACTTTCCATGTTGTTCCCCACCTATGGCCCCAAGGATGGGCTTCAGTCAGTTCACAAGGCAAAATCTCAAACTAAAACTTTGTCCACTTTTACTACCAATGTTACCAACACAAAACCACACCACCATTTGCTTCTTTTGATCTGCTTATTTGCAATCTTCTGGTTCTCTTCACAGCGGCTGACAGCGCACGCTGGAATGTAAGCGAGCCATCTGAGCCGTTTGTCTCCAAATCCCCACCAAAGGAAGGCTGCCAATCGGTGCAGGAGGTTCACAAGACAGAGGGCTTCCAAACGCACATGGGAAAAGAATTCAAGGAACGGGAGCGAGACGTGTACACCTTCCCCGGAGATTCTGACCCTGACAGCCCTCCTCCCGCTCCCTGGGCCCGCTGCACGTTCATTCAGCGCTGCAGGAAGAAGAGAGTGCTGCTAAGACCCTTCTCTGGCATCAGCCCCGATCTTGGGAAAAACTCAAAAGACAGCGAGGTGGAAAAGATGTATGATTTTGACGAAGACGAATTATTGGAGGAACCTAAAGAACAAGTGGAGGAAAGCACCTCGGAGGTGGACAACCAAATTTTTACTTGTGTGGAATGTAGCATTTACTTCAAGAAGCAGATCCACCTACAAGAGCACATGGTGGAGCACTCCCACAGTACTTCAGAAGAAAAGGAGAAGACTGGTGAAAGTAGTGAGTTTAAGTGTACAGAATGTGGTTGGAACTTATCAAATGAAACCGACCTGGAGAGCCACCAAAAGCAGCACCAGGAATCACGTGACAAAATCTTAAAGGAGATTGAGAAATTGAATGTAAACGATTTAAAAAAACAAGACAGCGAGGAGGCCTTAACGGTCCATTCGCCAGTAAGAATCTCAAATACAGATTGCGCCATTGTGGATTTAGATGCTCCAGATATCAGGACCCCAGTTCAAGGGAAAGGACAAACTGGATACCGACGGCGTTTTATCTGTCCTGTATGTAATTTCAGCACAAGAACGCCACAAGCACTGGCGAATCACAAAAAAACCCACAACAGAAAACCTACTTCCACTCAAATTGCTTGTTTATACTGTGCCTTCCGAACGTCAAGTAAAAAAGTTTTAAGGGATCACCTGAAACTCACTCACCAAGGGCACGGAGAGAATGGGCAGAATCCAAAACATATTTTAAATTCCAAAATCTCCATGACTGGTAAATTCCACAGAGGAGTTGGTGCCTTGGACGACTGCACATTACCAGATGGAATAACTGGGAATATGGGGCAAAATAGTAGACAGAATATTTGGACTAAAGTGGCCAGGCTTAATCCCAGAACAGAGTATGATAAACTGTCTGATAGTGAGGATGACGTGCAAGTTCAGACAGCAGAGGGTATTAGTGAACAAGAGGGAAAATCCAGTCAGCGCACAAGATCTCTCTCCAACTCGGGTAAGTGAAATTATTGCAGTTATTTGAAACATAATTATATAAGCTCTTTGGTATACTTTTGATTTTAGTTTATCAGTTGTTTGTTGACTCATGTTTCTTGTCACGATAAGAAATTTTGAAATGTGATATATTGCTGAAGTAAATATACAGTGTAGTATACAGTGTACATAGACTACAACCCCATGGATCATGACTGAAAGGGTTTAGGCTGAAGCAAAAAGTACTTATAATGCCAAACCCTATAAAAACGTGACAGAATTCCAAGAAAGAAAAGCAGCGTATGAACAGCAAGTTTGCATTTACAATTTCACTTACGACTTACTGTATACTGTATGTAAGAGACAAAATATTAATTAAATCAAACACAATTTAATGCATAATTCATTCATTCATTCCACAGCTCTATATCTTTCAAATCATAATGCTTTATACTTTTTTTTAAAGGCTTCTACAGTGGTGTTGTTCCATATGTTCACCCCTCTAACAGAAATACAATCACTTTTTTCTTAGTTCTTATCTTCATTTTTTAAAAGATGCCAGTTTTTCTGTTTATGGTCGTATAAACTAATACTAATGTTAACAAAGGCACAAAAGTTTATAGTTTATGATTATACAAAATAAACCACAATGAGAATGAAAAAATCTAAGGGTATTTTGTTTTTGTTTATGGTCGTACAAACTAATAATAATGACAAAGAAGGTACAAAATGTATAGTTTATGATCGTATCAAAGTAAAACTTAATGTTAAAGAAAATGTTAAAGAAAAGCATGTGTTCAGTTACTAAAAATCAAGTAGACAGTTAACATATTTCACAAAATCTGAAATTAGTGCCTTTTAATATGAAATTATCTGTTGTGTATCCAGACGACCCTGTAGCACAGTGCAGCAGCCCACGGGCTCCTCCTCTGAGGAGGAGTATGAGGCACGAGGACAGGCAAGAGGGACAGCCGGATGGAAAGGTGTTGTACCTGAGGCGGAGCAGTCGAGTCAGTGCTGCTCCAGTGCTGGTGCCCAGTGATGATGAGGAGGGTGATGAAGAGGGTTCAGGACGGCTGCTGTCAGATGTCCTCCTGGATGAAGACGCAGAGGAGATTGATGAGGACACAGAGGAGCTAAAGAGCGTGGAGAGGAAGTGCCCTTATTGCCCTGATCGATTTCATAACGGCATCGGACTGGCCAATCATGTGAGGGGGCACCTGAACCGAGTGGGCGTTAGCTATAACGTACGCCACTTCATCTCCCCCGAGGAGGTCAACGCCATAGAGAGGAGGTTCTCTTATCAGAAGAAGAAGAAGAAAGGTGACACATGCATTATTTTACTGCATGTTTTAATCTGTGGATCAAGCGTTTATGATTTAATTGTTTTTGGACTTAACACACACAGATGCTCTCTCTATTGAAAAACATTTCATAATATCTTATCTGGCTCTTCTCTCACCTCACACACCAGTCACAAGCCTCCAGTACACACACCGTGTACTTACAAATTACTTACAGGCTGCTTCCTCTGTCCACAGTTGCGAACTTTGACCCTGGCACCTTCAGTGTGATGCACTGCGAGTTCTGTAACGCGGGCTTTGACACACGGGCCGGCCTGTCCAGTCACGCACGTGCCCACCTTAGAGACCTGGGCATCACCAACTGGGACATTACCATCTCCCCCATCCACGTGCTCAGAGAGGTGTTCTCCAGCCGACCCGACCTGGTCATCCCCACTGCCCCCCCACGCAGCCTGTGTGACGAGGAAGAGGACGAGGACAGTGAGGAAGATGATGACATTATTGAGGTGAAGCTGGAGGAAGAGTCAAGGTCTGAGATATCAGAATCAGCTGTGCCCTGGAAATATGAGGACCAGATAAAAGAATGTAAAGGTAAGAATTCATATCAATCATTTGTGATGATTAGAAATCGTCTACAGTAAGGTTGTTTGAGATGCAGTGTGAATATTTAGTTAATTTAGTTTACTGAAAAAACAAATAGTATGCTTCAAATTAGGTGATCAACTTGACTTCTTTTAAAATGTCCTCTTCACGCCTTTTTTGCCTCAACTTTAATGCATTCTTTCAAGTTTTACAACATGAAAGATCAAGTCAAAGGTGTCCAAAAGTAGTTTAAAAAATGGAATATTGCAGAACACTTTAACCCCTTGCAACATTTCAGTGTTTTAACAAGCTATGAACTTTAAAGAATTGTTTATAAAGATCATTATTATCATGCATGTATCTTTCTGCATGTAAGCTGGTGATAAATGCAATAATAAAACGTTTACTTTTGGATTAATGTGTGTTTGCTAAGTTACAAGTGTTTGCTTTGACTGGCTATAAACTTATAGTGTTTAAGTGTTGACATTTCCTGGCAGCAGATCCCTGTAGTATGTAAATGTGTGCTTGGTGTGCTCTCAGCTGTTGTTACTTTTTTTAGAAAGCTATGCCATCCATTTTATCAATAACCTGCTAGATTTAAACTGCCTGTCCGACTGGAGACTTAGTTTTCTTAACGGTTCAATATCTTAGAAATGTCATCTTAATTCCAAACATGGTTAATTTGATTTGTGGATGAGTAAAATATCAGATGCTTCTCTCACTCTTATATAATTTTGGCCGTGACCTAAATCCAACTTTACTCCTCTGTCACAATGAGGGAACCCCCCTGCAGTAGCGCGGTGGGGAAATTAAATAGTGGCAAGTGCATTGAGAAGTTGCTCCACAGTTTTGATAACAGACTGTGGTTCTTGCTTGTATAACTTTAAGATTATATTGTTGTTGATTGATGCAGAAGAGTGGTTAAGTGGCTGTATGAGGAGATGTCAGGGGGATAGTCCCTTATGCCCACTGTTCATCACTCTTTGATGCCAACCTCCGCCTTCCTCTATTGGTCACGCCTTAAGCTTAGCGGTGCATATGGGGCAAAATGGCTGCTTCCACCTCCCCGCAGACCCAAACAATAGCGGAAAAGCAGTCGGCTGGCTCCCACGACTGCCGGGAGTCCGATGCACTGCGGCTGCGGAGCGGTGAGTTCAGCTCCAGCCGTGTTCCCCCAGTAGAGTGGCGCTCGCTCCCATCTCATCCCCTGCGCGCCCGCCGTGCCACATCTCTCTAGACAACAACCATTAAAAGTCTTTTTCTCAAGAGAGCACGTAAAGACAAATGATGGTCGCGCAGGTAGCCCACAGTGCGCCCATGTCACGCGTGTCAGCAGCCCCCATAGACATGCGTTTGGATTGTTTTGTGCTCGGTAATAAGTGCCGCTCCTATTGGCTCGCACATTACTGTATTTTCTTCCTGTCTGAGCCTTTCATTGAGTGCGTCTGGGATGACGTCCAGTATTTCAATGCTGCAGGATCTCTAAAATTACCTACACTTGCCCAATCCTCGCCATTTTACTTTGATTTTTGATAGAGGACGTGCTGTGCCTTCCAGTGTATGTATCCATGCATGGTTTCCTTACAAACTCGTAGCGGAATTGCTCTGTAGACATAGTTAAGCACTTTAAAACGTAGCGAGTGATGTTGGAGAACTTAGGGAAGGTGAAGTGCAGTGGAAGTGACACTTTTGCTCGGGGTTAAGCAGCGGTGTTCCTAAAGTCAACTCGGCGTGTCTGCTCGTTGTAAATGCTCCGCTAATGATGCCGTGCCATTGTGTGCGTTTTGATGTGAGACTGTTGTAACCATAGAGTCTGTGGTTGTAACGCTGCGCTCTGAGGTGTCACATCGCCGCTCTTTTACAGTCAGGAGATGAAGTGACAAGCGCAGAGCCGCCCACCAGACAAAAAGCATTGTCTGTCTCCGCGTCTCTTTTGATTTAGCCATTTGTCGCAGAAAATGGCACTTTTGTCCCAGGAATCCAGGAAGAAACACTACCATGTCTGTTTTTATAGAATCCAAGAATATTATTTTACAAAATTTAAAATAGTGAATTAGTTCTTCATTTTATTATTTTAAAATACAAACTAGGGTTTATTTACAACTAAATGAACTCATGACTTAAAACATTTTCATGTTTTTATTTTTGAATTAAAATGTCATTTTTACCATATTCTATAATTGTACATGTGTTCTACTTATGCGTGCATGCAGTAGAACAGGGTACATGTTTTTGTCAGGTATTAAAATGCAGGCATCAGCATTTGGTGTGTGTGGGTTTGAGTTGAGTGTGATGAAGTTGCTGTGTCTTTGTGTGTGAACCTCAGATGAGGAGGAGGAAGTGGCTGTTGAAGAACGCGATGCGCTGCAGCTGGCCGCTCTGAGCCTGGTCCGGGAGTCAGACAGGTCGCCCCAGGAGGATGCCCGCACCAAGGGTGAGTGAGCTTGCGTGTCAACAGGGGATGGGATTAGTCACACAGAAGCCTTATCATGGCTGTCAGTGCATGGGGAAATAGAAGAAGTGAACCTAGAGGGCTGTCCCTAGGGACCCTGAGAGGAAGACAAATGTACTTAGGGACTAAATGGGGCAGTTTTACATGGGGCCAAAGCAGGGAGCAGACAGGAGGGTAAGTGAGGGCAGTGCTCCCCCGAGACACAGGGCTGTACCTGAGTCTGCAAAAGAAACATCCCTTAGAATATGCTAATTTTGTGTTTTATTATATATAAAATATTATCATACAATTAGTACAAATATAGATTTTTTTTTTAAAGTGAATGAAAATGTGGAGAGTTTAGAGCTGATGTGTGGTAATGTGGTAATGTGGTAATCCAAAGCTTAAATCCCTTAGTCACATGTGGCTTATGTGTTTGCAGACGATTATTTGAAGTGTGAAGTGTGTGGGGCCCAGTTTGAGACCAGACGAGGCCTCTCTAGCCACGCCCGCTCCCACTTACGCCAGCTGGGCATCCGAACCTCTGAGAGCAGCGGGGCACCCATCCACTTCCTGTACCAAATCGCCAAGGAGCGCAATCTAGACAGCCAAATACGTCGTCTTCAAGAGCCCACTCCAGCCAAGAACTGTTCTCCCCCCACTCCATGTGATCCAAGTGATGAAGTGATAGAAGTCATGGATGTGGAGAAGACACCTGTCCCTCCCTCCCTCCTTGCCAAAGCAGCCAAAGCAGTGCCACCCTCCACCTCCTGCTCCACCCCCTCCCCTGGTGCCTCTCCTCTCCTGGCACCCTCTCCCTCTTCAGTGGTGAGGAAAGCCCCCATCTCTTCCCTGCTGCCAGTGTCTTCCCCTCTGCGCTCTCTGGAGCACAAAGCCGGGGGAATGAAGAGCCTGACCTCCAGCCTGGCCACGCCCCCGGCCACAAAACCCCTGTGGGCCCCGCAGGACAACGATGCTCCACTCAACCTCAGTAAGTCATTCGCTGTCTGTTCAGAGACAAGAGTATCTATTGATTTATTTTTAGACTGCTACCATCTCTTCCTTTTGCAACACTTCAGTCTATTTTAATGACAAAATGTGAATACATGTGTTTAATTGGGAAACATTTGTTGGCAGGTTTTGTTGTTTGTTAGTTGTTAAGAGATGCTCATGCTCATTATTCAAACAGCTGGTAGTTCATGCCCTCTACTAACAGTGCATGTTGCCATTGTTCCCTTTGGCAAGACACCCTATTTAAATGTGTTTGTGAGTGTCATCTTTGGAGGTCAGAAAGCCATTGTTTGATTAATCTGACTCAGGAAATCCCTGGCTAAAGAGGAATTACTAATTATTATCATAAATATTATCCTCTGCTAAACCTTGTTAATACATTTTGAACGTAAAGTTTTAATTTTAGCTTCTGAAAGTTCATTGACTGAGGTTACATTTGGGTGACACACTAGTGCTGTTTTAAGTGTATGAGTTTCATGATGTGCTTATTAAACATAATCTTAATAACTCAATACTAATGAGTAACATTTTTAATGGTACAGCTCTAGAGGCCGACCCCCACAAAGACATAGTGTGCCAGTTGTGTGGAGCTTGGTTTGAGACAAGAAAAGGCCTGTCCAGTCATGCCCGGGCCCACCTGCGCCATTTTGGAGTGGAGTACTCTGAATCCAAGGGCTCACCAATAGACCTCCTCACGCAGCTCATTGACAGTGATGAGTTCAAGCACAAGGCCAGAGAACTTCAGCTGGACGGTCCTGGGGAGAGACAGGGCCTCAGCAGTGCACTCTCTTCCCCAAAGCCCTCCCTGTTCTCCCTTCCCACATCTTCTTCCCCTCTGCTCTACAAGGTGACCACCTCCAAAACTACCTCTGCTTCTCCAATACTTGGCCCACCTGCCAAGCGCCTCAAGCCCTCCTCCATGCAGATCTTCCGCCTGAACAGTGGAGAGTTTATGACCCTTCCTCTCAGTAAGCTCTTTTACATTTTTTAATTTTCACCACAATGAAAAGCTTTTACAATTTTCATGTTTAATTATTTTTTTATGTGTACGAAGGAACATGAGTGATGCCTACGCAAATCTTCAGAGCCACCACTGCTCAGTCCATGTCTTGTTACTGTCTGTGGTGTCACAAAAAACACTAATGTTATTCCAACATTTTAGACATCCAAGTCTGCGGCATTTGCTTTTATCCTTAAGAAGGCGGCGCACCACTCAGTTTGCCTTAAATATGGTTTCAGAGCTGTCTTAGTCGTTTGTTGTGAAACAGTGGACCCTAAAAATAATTGCCATTGATTTCATTTGTTATATCTATGTAATCCCTCAGTGGCCCAGCTGAGAATGCAAGAAAAGGTAAATTAAGTAAACTGGACAACGTGTTACGAATGAAGATATTTCGTCTCTTATCCAAGATACTTTCTCAATCATCAAGGCAGCCATGAAAAAAATCACAAAAAATTGCTGTTTTTCCCAGGTGAACCTCTGAAGGAGATTGGTTGTGAGTTCTGCGGAGAATACTTTGAGAACCGCAAAGGTCTATCCAGTCACGCCCGCTCCCACCTGAGACAGATGGGCATCACACAGTGGTCTGTCAACGGCTCACCCATTGACACTTTGAGGGAGCTCATTGCCAGACGTGGTCTTCCCTCTGCTTTGCCTCTAAAACCTCAGAGGACCCCAGCTCCGCCCTCTCCAGCCCCTCCTCGTTCACCTCTGTCCAGCTCTTCCTCTCCTCCCAGTGCCCTGCTCACCCGCCTGCCCTTTGCCTTTGCTCGCCGCCACAGTCCACCTCAGATGGTGCCCAAGCTGAACTCCACTCCTCCTCAGTCCTCTCTGAGTGGACTCCTGAAGCCCAAAGCAGAGCCAGTGCAGCTGGATGTGACCAGCCCTGGGACAGTGGCTCGGTCTGTGGGATACTCCTCTGGAAGTCTCAGCCCCACTCTGACCAGTTCTAACAGTGTGCATCCGCTCAACCTCGGTAACTGAGGATTTTACTTTAATTAGCTTCTGTTATCGTAATCTATTAAAAGTTGTGTAAATCTGCTATTGCTTTGATTTTTGGTTTCAAATGTGTGTTACCATTCCAGTCAAGTAGTAAAAAAGAAAAAACAAAACAAACAAAACTCCTACTATATAATAATAATTAGTTGTAGTGGTAGTACTATGTAAAATATTTATCATGTTAACAAGTAAAAAGTCCATCACATTTGTATTATAATACTGTTTCTTTAACAGTGTTGTGTATTTTCTCAGCAATGTCTCATGATGTGGAGCCACCTCGGGACATCCGCTGTGAGTTCTGTGGAGAATACTTTGAGAACCGTAAAGGTCTGTCCAGTCACGCCCGCTCCCACCTGAGACAGATGGGCATCACACAGTGGTCTGTCAATGGATCGCCCATTGACACTTTGAGGGAAGTGATGCGCAAGAAAGGAGTAACGTCTGCATCATCTTTAGAGCCTGAGATTAAGAAAGAATCAGGTGTAGAGGCCAGCAGTCCTTCATTAGAGTGTCTAAGGGGTATTGTAGGTGTATCCACTTACCAGTCCTCCAGTCTGCACAAGTCTCCCCTCACTCTGCTCCAGTCAGGGCTCAGAGTTCCTAAAGCAGGGCTCAGCTCTGTGGGCACATCTGCTGTCCCGTCTGGAGGCAGGTTTTCCGGGCTGTCCCCTTTGGGAAAACGTCCACTGTCAGAGGATGGACTGTCCATGGACATAGCCCACTCACCACTAGGTCACTTCAAGACCTATTCACCTCTGCCTCATGACCTATCCTTCAAGAGCAAGTCCCCTCCGGTCAAGCACAGACGTAAGTCACTCTTTGTATGTTGGTTTGTTAAGTTTGTTAGTGTAATTCTACACATTCAGTAGTACTGACACCTTCCTCTTACATCAGCTGATCCCAGCTGTGAGCTGTGTGGATTCTACTTTGAGAACCGTAAGGCTTTGGCCAGTCACGCCCGAGCTCACCTCAGACAGTTTGGCGTGACCGAGTGGTCGGTGAATGGATCCCCAATTGAGACGCTCAGTGCTTGGATCCGCAGTCGGCCTCAGAAGGTGCTGGACATGCACCGCAGCTACATGCAGGGCAACTGCTCAGCCCTCAAGAAGGTGAGAAGGATTTGTAGATATAAATCTTTTAATGTTTTTTTTTTAATATGATGGCCTCTATCATGTTACAGTTAGGGTCATTGTTTTGCTTAAATTTGCACTTTATTGCACGATTTGTAATAGTCCATTTACTTTGTATTTTTAATGTGATAATCATTGGAAAGTACATAGTCATTAGATCATTATGCAACAGAAAATTGCATTTAGAATGGTCTGTAATTGCCCGTTACCCATGAGTTTGAAGTCTTGCCCTGTGCACTAGTATTTTCCAGTTGGTTTGACTGATCATTGGCCCCTGTAGGCTGTACAAGCCTGTAACCTGCTGTAGTTAGAGGGAGACATCTTGCTGGGAGATCTGAGCGGCCCCGGCTGGTTGCTCGACAGACATTAGCGTCTTGGAAAGCTTCAGACGTGTTGTCTAACAGCTTTGAGCCTTACTGTAGATCCTATGTCTTTACACCCAGCTAAAATCACTGCGGGGACAGATGCCAGAACAACTCAGCTATCGACTTGATAGTTGCCATAGTAACCAGGGTGCCTGGCAGCTTATGTTTCATCTTCAGATAAATTATGGCATGCTGTTGATAGAAGAAAATGTCTGTTTTTTTCTCTCCCTCTTTCTTCCCTCCTGAATTAGTTTCTGGTGCATTTGCGTCACTCTTAACACCTTTTCTCTGAGCTGATATGTGACACAAATACAGAGCAGATTGCATTTCCAATGTCCTTGTCAGTCAAGTTGTAAAGATTTATTCATACCAGAATACCAATCCTACCTCACTTAATTGAACTCAGTACTTGAGGACAGTCTAATTATAGAAGAAATAACATATTTAATTAAACCTATTAAAATGTTTCCTTCAAAATTGTTATGCATCAGATCTAACATGCAAATGAAATGGCTAAACAAAGTTGTTTCTGGCTGGATTCTGGCTTTGAATAGGTTTCTTTCACTGCTCATAAATTGAATGAAGAATTTAAATTGAAAGATTTTTGCTTTTGTAATTACACAGTACAGTGTGACTATGTGCATGGCACCATCACTAGTGATAGTAGTTGTATGTAATGTCTGCTGCACAATGCACAGCTGTAATGATGTTTTTCTCTAACCATTCTCTTCATTCAGTGATGATTAGTATTAGGAGAGTTTGCTTTGAAATTGTCAAAATGATATGTTGCAAGTCGTGTGTAATCTGGCTCAATAGGTCAAAAGCCAGTGCTCTCAGTCTCAGAAATAAATAGTTTTTATTGCTGGGGCTGAGCAGGGAAGGGCATCTGGCATACAGTTGTTATCTAACACACACTCTTAGAGTTAATTATATTTTTTGCTGTCATGTTTTAGTAATAACCTTCAATTGTTTGTTTATTTATCTGTGTGTGTACTATTATTACTATTATTTAACTGTATGTTATGATTGGCTTGCCTACTGAACTGATAAGATACTTAATAAACATAAGGTTAGATTTGTTTTCAGTATGTCTGATGCTGATCATGCTGCTCTTCACCAGAAGTGCAGGTCGCCTGTCTCTCTGGATTCTCCTCATGTCCTCCCTGCTTCATCACCAAAAGCATCAGCTTCCTCTTCCTCCTCTTCTTCTGCATCTCAGTGGTCTTCATCATTGGCAGTCAGCCTGGTTCCACCCTTAAACCGCGAGGTCGCCCACTGCCCCTCCAAAAACTCTGGGGATGAATCCAACACTAACTTGGACACCACACCCCCCAAACCTTTGGACAGCAGCCCCTGTCCCTCACGGCCCTCTGGCAGTCTCCCTCTCCAAGCACAGGTGGCTCGCAGTGAGCTCAACGTCCGCCTGCCCAGAGGTATGTCAGCTGGTGGTAGTGTAAAAGTATCAGTGGGTTTGATGACTGTTACTAGCGCAATTAACAAAAACTAAAACTAACTATCTTTCAAATGGTGAAAAGTCCTCAAAATGTCGAAACCCATGAAAACTATATTTTCACTTGACACCCTGAAGACTTTTTGGTTTTTGGTTTGAGTCATTTGTTGGCAACGCAAGGTCGTACCTATAGTGGATCAAACAAAACTGAAACATTATGTGAGTGGAGTTTGTCTCCTGAGGAGTTGTATAATAATGCATTAGGACATATATTTAGGCTCTAAATGTCTCATTGTGCTCTGTTTTAAATGTTACCTGTGACACAAAGGCCTTTTGATGCACATTAACAAACCTATTAGCACAGCCTTGGTACAAAGTTTGTCTTGTTTGTCTTTGACAGTGATTTGCCATTTATGCATTCTGCATTCATTAAGGCTCTGCGTAAATTCAAAGGGCTCTATCCAGCAATTCACTGTACACTGTGAAAGACAACTATGACATCAAACTACACATATATAGTCTATATTTACAGTCTAGATTTTACATGTTACAGCTATGTATTTATTTTTACAGAAACATTTGTATCTTCCTGTCACTAAGAAAATTACAGTATTAACAAATACTCCACAGACAAACAATGCAACTTTCAACGTAAAAAACCAAACAAAACATTGAAACAAGTCAGAAGAGAAATAATAATAATGCCTTGAAAATAATAATAATACCTTGAAAATTAATAAAAACTGATAAGAACTGACTTCTTCTCCTACTTTGCTCCTCTTTAGGGTTTGAGCGTCGCCCCCTAAAGCACCCCTCCTGCTCTGAAGGAGCAGAGCGGGACAGCAGCTCCCCCCGGCCCCCCCGCACAGGCACAGGCACTGTGCCCGCCCTGGTGCCCAAGCCACCTTCTTACCCACTCGTCAAACTGGAGGGCAACTTCTACACCCTGAAGTGCCGGTGAGTTGTCCATAGGCTATTTTTTCATGTCAACTAAACCTTTAGCTTTTAACCTTACCACAATGATGTTTACTCTTCACTGCCAGCCTTGAGAAGTTTTTTTAGTGTTCTGTGAGGCCTCACCTTTCCTTGAAAGCACAGTTAGCAACACTTTTGTGTTTTAAACACAGATCTATAATAAGAACTGGATAAGATACCCCCTCACCGTCCTGATGCGAGCTTGCCCCATAGGTACTGTACTAGAGTCTCTGTGTATATTTGTGAAATTAATTTGGCCTATCTGATTGGTCAGAACTGATCACATTGTGCATGTTTCTGTCATCACAGTTTGATGCACTAGTTCAGTGGTCCCCAACCTTTTTTCGCCATGGACCGGTTTATTGTCAGACGATAGTTTCACGACCCGGTACCAAATAACCCACACCCCAGTGCCTGTCCACAGCCTGTGAGTTGGGGACCACTGCACTTGCGCGTATTGAGGAAATTTTGTAAATACAGAAGATGAAATTATTTTTGGCATCATGTACCAATGAGAACTAAGCCAGTACACTTGTTTTGATCTTACCTACCTTATAGCATTGTGTTGCCAATAGTAATGCTGCAACATGCTCCACTCCCCACTGTTGTTGTCATTAAATAGTAACAAACAAAATCCAAGCAAGCAATCCAAAAGTATTTCAAAAAGCCTGAAACTAGCATACAGAAGGACCTTTAATGAAGTGTGTTGAAAGTAGCGAGGCGTTCTGTATTTTCAGCAACATGAATGAGATTTGTTTCACTGCAGCAAAAGCCGACAGCTCCCCTGGGTGGTACCTGCTCTGTGTGGATCAGCATTTTATTTCTTTATGCGAGACCACTGTTTCTGCTTAAACGTGCAATTTGCAACTTCTAGGACCAAATGACATTTAAGTACCTATGTGTAAATGAGGCATAAATTAAATTGAAGAGAAGCTAACTCTGACTTTTCCGGGCTGCTTGGAAGAATGATAAAGTACAGTTGATAAAGCAGTCTCAGGCGCACAGTGTTTTTGTATACTGGTGCATAGATGTGTGATTGCTTATGTAAGTTAATAAGTCCTTGTGGTATATTTCTGTCTCACTTATACCAGTTTTAGTAGATGCACTCCAAGGTGAGACTGTGCAGTGCCCAATATTTTGGATGGAGATGGTGCAGTAGTCTGAGTGTTTGCCCAATTACCCAAAGGTTGTTTTGTCCTTCAGCAAAATCCAATTATAAATGCGGTGTGTGTGTGTTCATACTGGGATTCTGGGCTATGTAAATAAAATGCATTATTACTAGTTATATGACATTACTTATTTAATATATATATACATACAGTCCCTGACAAAAGTCTTGTCGTTTATCCATTTTGTAGAAACAAAAGCTTATAACTTGACTTTAAAATTAATCGATTGGTTTTAGAAATGTCTCATATGAAAGCTAAAACCCTCCCAAATTATGCTCAATATACTAAAAAAAATTTGCTTCACTGAAAAAAGATTGATCATTTAATGAACACAGAAAGGTCAGATTTTGGCAAGACAAAAGTCTTGTGGCCTTGTCATATGATGCACCAATCCTAGATTACAGCCTCACCTGTGGTCAGTTACTGATCAGTCAATTAGTGGGTGTGTATAAAAAGACCCCCAGCACACCAGACCTTCACATCAACTGCAACTTGACCTCTGACAACATGCCTAAGATCCACCCTGAGACCAAAGCATGAAATTATCAAGAGGCTGAAGACCAGATCCACTGCTGAGGTGGTGACACCTTCAATGTGTCTCAGCGTCAAGTACAAAGAATAAGAAAAAGATCTGAAATGACTGGAGATGTTTTTGACAAGCCCAGGTCCAGGCAGACCCCGCAAGACAACTGCTCGGGAGGACCGTTTGTTGATTCGAAAATCCACGGCCTCTTTTCCACTGCAGCAGAGCTCCACCAGGCCTGGTCACCTCAAGTCCCTGTGTCAACCTGAACAGTTTGTAGAATTCTGTCTCGAAATGGCCTCCATGGTCGAATCAGTGCACAGAGACCAGCACTAAACAAAAGGCAATTAAAAAAACGTGTGGCATTTGCCAAGGCCCACAGCCTGCTAAAAGGATGGACACTGGAAAAGTGGCAGAAGGTGGATTTCTCAGATGAATCCTCGGTTGAATTACATCACAGCTGCCACAAATATTGCAGGAGACCTACTGGAGCCCGCATGGATCCAAGATTCACCCAGAAAACAGTTAAGTTTGGTGGCGGAAAAATCCTGGTCTGTGGTTCCATCCAGTCTGGGGGTGTGTGAGACATTTGCAGGGTGGAAGGTAAATATCAATAACCTAAAATATCAAGAAGTATTAGCTCCTCTTACATTCCCAACCATAAAAGAGGTCAAATTTTGCAGCAGGATGGTGCTCCATCGCATAATTCTATCTCGACATCAAAGTTTCTCAAGGCGAAGAAGATCAAGGTGCTCCAGGACTGGCCAGCCCAGTCACCAGACATGAACATCATGGAGCATGTCTGGGGTAGAATGAAAGAGGAAGCATGGAAGACAAAACCAAAGAATCTTGATGAACTCTGGGAGGCATGTAAGACGCTTTCTTTACTATTCCTGATGACTTCATCAACAAATTGTATGAATCATTGTTGAACCACATGGACATTGTTGAACCACATGGATGTGTCCTTCAAGCTCATGGAAGTCATACAAGATATTAAATATGGATCTCACAGCACCACTACTTAATTCACTGACGTTATGCAACATATTTTTGTATTTGAAGTAAATTATTTGTTCAATTTTCTGTAGGCGACAAAACTTTTGTCTTGCCAAAATCTGACCTTTCTGTGTTCATTAAATGATCAATCTTTTTTCAGTGAAGCAAATTTATTTTATTGAGCATAATTTGGGAGGGTTTTAGCTTCATATGAGACATTTCTAAAACCAATCGATTAATTTAAAGTCAAGTTATAAGCTTTTGTTTCTACAAAATGGATAAGCGACAAGACTTTTGTCAGGGACTGTATATATGTATATATATATATGTGTGTGTAATATATTTATTTCTGTTTTGTTCCTCTGCCCAGGTTCTGTGAAGTGGAGTTCCATGGGCCTCTGTCTGTGCAGGAGGACTGGATCCGCCACCTACAGCAGCACATTTTCAAGATGAATTACAAAACTCCCCATGCTCGAGCTCCTGCAAACACCCGCACAGACACCTCTGTCTCTGTCCCTGTCTCTGTCCCTGTCTCAGCCACTGTTTCAGCCCCCGTCTCAGCCCCCGTCTCCTCAGTACCAGTCTCAGCCCCTGCCTCAGCACCAGTCTCTGCCCCTGCCTCAGCACCAGTCTCTGCCCCTGCCTCAGCACCAGTCTCTGCCCCTGCCTCAGCTCCTGTCTCTGCCCCTGCCTCAGCTCCTGTCTCTGCCCCTGCCTCAGCTCCTGTCTCTGCCCCTGCCTCAGTTCCTGTCAGTTCCTGTCTCTGCCCCTGCCTCAGTTCCTGTCTCTGCCCCTGCCTCAGTTCCTGTCTCTGCCCCTGCCTCAGTTCCTGTCTCTGCCCCTGCCTCAGTTCCTGTCTCTGCCCCTGTCTCTGAACCTGTCCACACCTTTACCTCTACCTCTACCTCCAACACCCGCACCACCACACCTACCCTGACCTCCAGCCACACCCCCACACTCCCAGCAAAGTGCACTCCCAACACTGCCACTGAGCTGGACCACATCTCCACAGAGCAGTCCACAGTCGAGCCAACTCCAGTGTAACTCATCTTCCAACAGCAGCACACCTTTCTTCCTCTCTAGGTTTGCCTTTGATTGGTCCGGTCATTCCTCTGTGTCGGCCAAGTATTGTTGAGGAGAAGAGTTTCCCCTCCGAAGAGCCCTCTGAGCCCCAAGCACCTTTGAAGCAGCTTACGAGACTGTTACTTGGTCCCGTTTCCATGGGAACCTGGCGCCCTGGCTTATCCGTGCACCAGGGATGGGTATTGTGAAAACTTCCCAAGGTTATTAGGGGAGACAAAACAATGTTTGTTTTTGTCTTGCTCATATTTATGTCTGTTCATTTTAAACCTTCTTTTCTTTTACTGGTTCAGTTTGGAGTATTTTTACCTCCGTATCTTTTGTAGTTCACTCCCTTTTTGCCTCACTATTGTTGCGATGAACCCACAAGACTTTGGCTAGCTCTAGCACTGGTCTAAGCTTTGAAAAGGTCTGACTAAGATTTGAAAATTGTAATCCTGCTACTAGTCTTGTGCTTTAGACTTTAAACTTGTGGAATTTGCAGTGGGTAAAAATAGCACTTTTAATGTGACACTGAGCACTTACAGAGCACTTGTTTTGGGCTCTGGCTACACAGACAGTATTTAAAAGTTATATGGAGCTAGTTTTAGTTAATCTAGATACTTTGTTCATCCATGTGCAGAAGTTGGACACTACTTACTTCATGTTACATTATACACATTATTTAAAGAGCATTTCTAAATCTTACCTCTGTTGTGTATCTGTAACTAGAACTAATACCAATGTAGCTGCTGTTTGAACTATAGTCACTGTTGAAAATTGTAGAGAGAAATATTTCAGAAATCAAAAGAGAAATGCACCCAGTATTTTGTGCGGAGAAGAAACACTAATGCATAGGAAAATGTCAATCAGTTTCATATGTGTAGCCTGGGCCTAAAAGAATGGAGCAAGAAGAGGAAGCACATCCAAAAAGGGAATCTCCCTCTATCAACTCTAAATACTGTCCAAAAATCTATCATTCATCATTTCTTGAATGTAGCTTAAAGCACCTATTGAAACCTTATGCACACTACTCTTTGTGCACTTACTGATTTATGTTGGTCTTTGACTGGGCTTCTGGGTCTCCCTTATTAAGAGAACTGAGGATATTGTTACTCATCAATGTGTTTTAAACATTTTATCGTCTTTTTTTTTTTTTTCAACAAAATACAAATTATTATTTATTTTATACTCATATGAATGTTGTCTTGAATGAATTTTACAATGTTTCAAACTGTCTGTATGCCACTAAACACAACCCATTTCAAATTGTTAAGTCAAAGATGGGGGTTAGACCGCCGGCTTGCTGGACTCCTTTCTGTATTTACCAGAACTTGCATCCGTCGTAGAGTTAGGATGTGCCAAAGAAGTCTGTTTACTCCCTCGTTTTTGCCTCTGTACTTGCTGTTTACAATGGACCTAGCAAAGTGGGGATTTGCTTTCCACTCTGGATGAGATAAGACTGCTGGACTTCGTGATACTAATCTCCAGGGTTTTTTTCCAGTGAACCTGACTTCAAGCTCTTGTATACCCAGCCATGTGAACTTAATCTGGGCATGGGGGAGCGAGGGGCCGGGCCAGTCTCTGGAGCCCACCTCTTTCCAATCCGTTTTCTTGTACATGGCTTCAGGCGCTTCGTATCAACCTCAACTGACTGAAGCAATAGCTCAACAGGTCCTTTACATGTCAGTTCCAGTGTTTCCAAACATGACTGTTTAGCCCTAATCCTTTTATGGAGTATATACTATATAACTACATGTACCTAAGCAACTGTTGATGCTAGTAGGCTATCAATAGTTCTATTAGCAAAGGTAGTTCAAATAAGTGATCTTAATTCATATATTGTGATTTATGTATTTTTTATTGCTCCGTGCATTTCAGTAATCCTGCAAGGTAGACTATTTTTTAATTTCGATCCATTAGTCTCCAAGCTGAATTGGTGCTGGTGAGAGATTGAACCGGTAAGAAGCATTTTATTGTGATTGTCACGTCCTGTTATCAAAGGACTCTAATAACTTGGCCTTAGGAGGGGGCTTAATTTCATGTAATGATTGTCTGTCCCCTCTACTTATACAAACAGAGCCCATTGCAGGTCTGTGGCTGCTCAGAGGCCAGTGCATTAGAGAACCCTGTTGAAAAGCCTCAGCTGGTTAAACTGGCTTGTGTACGCATGTGTGAGTGTCTGTGATTAGACGACAGAGAATAAGAAAAAGATGCAAACGAAGGACTGTACTCGAAAGGGTGAATCAACTTCAGAACAAAAAATAAATAAATGTGATTTCAAAATGCACTCTGCTCTGTTGGTTTTATTGCATAACATTTGGGTGGCCACTAGATGGAGCCTCAATACAAATTTGATCATTAACAAGATTTGAATAAAACTAAAAGAGCCTAGTTTAAATATCAGATTAGGATTATGAATGTTATTGATCAAATAGTCAAAATGAATAAAGGCTCAAAGTAATTGTCTAATATATATTTCAGAACACTTGCATTAATAAGGAATGAATAATAATAATAAGCTATCTATACCACATCATTTATTTGTTATTGTTTATCTTTCTGATTCTTTGGATCTGACAAGAGCTAGCACACTGTAATTTCCGTACTCTTGTTCACTTGTCTGATTAAGATGTTTGGGGTTTCTCATCACCGTCTGAAATAGATCCCCTCAGACACAGGGAAGAGATAAGGGGCTTTTGTTTAGGGTTTGCAAAAGTATGATTTGTTATAAGCTTATTTAGAACAGAAGAGTGAAATGGAACTAAGTTTAAACTATTAGGCAGTTTTGACTTTTGTAATTTCTTAGACTTTGAGTTTGGCGAATAAAACCAATTGAGTTCTTGCATAAGATGTAAATAATGTCTCAAAGGACAACTTTTCACTCTCATATACACTCACAAGGGCATCTTTGTGTCACCCATTACATCTTTGGGTGAGGAGAGTCAGGAGCAAACCAATGTAACCCTCTACAAAAGGAATGTTAATTACAATACATTTAAAACACACACAGTCCTACTGTAAGCAGCCCTACATATGATTTGTATGTGTATGCCAAGTGTAATGTCATACTGTGAAATATAAAACAGGCAAAGTACTAACATGTCTATAGAGCAAGCAGATGGTAGACACTCCCTCAATAAAATATACCTTCAAGAAAAGAAAAAAAAAAAATCAGTTGATCAATGTAGAGATAACAGGTAAATGTCAATGAACGGTGAAAAAGTGTAAGAAAAGAGGTCATTCGTGCTGTGGAGTTTGGACTGAAGGAATAGAAAGAACTGTCTCATACTGGCGCTGCTGCTCTAACTCTCCTGGACCTCCTGATGGTACATAAACAACCTACTGACTACCACCAGTTCTGTGTTTTCAAACCAATGGAGGCACTTTGTGGTGCAGTACAAGTAGTGGTACTTAGTGTTCTTGTTTTTACTTGTACTTAAAAAACACTGCACTCTATGATTCAGCCAGCACAATAAAATAGGGGTGGCTCTAAGATGGAACCTTGAGATACACTAGGCAATGTTTCTGCAGCCAACTGATCCTGGAATAGTTGACAACCTTTGACCCATAATGTGAAGAAGTGCCAGTTGTTGAGTTGTTTTTACTTTGCTGATGTAACATTTCTGGGGGAGGGTCCGCCACCTGCTTATTTCCATAGAGATGTTATTGCTCTACCTCAGTATCCCATTAAACTGCTATATCTTGCATTTATTCAAATGGTGTTTTATAGCTCAAAATATCTTGATCTGTGGGGCATTCTGTAGCCCCAGCAATTTCAGAATGATATCTCTGTGTATTTTTATATAGATTGATATCAGTCTGGTCCCCACACCCTCCGTTACGTCTGAAGCCCGGCCAAAAGTGATCATGCAAGCATTTTATTTATTTTTTTCCAGTAACGGAATAGTACAAGCTCATTGGCCACCTATGATTTTCAAATAACATCAAATGTATTTACCCTCAAATTTATAGAGTTTAGTGCTTTGCTCATTGATTGTCCAGAAATCTGCAATGTTTTTCTGCTCCCTGTGATTTTTTTCCCTTTATTTTTTCAATGCACGTGTCCTCGATTGGCTAATCCATCTGTCATTCCACCTAACAACTGGGAGATTCACCGGTGACCAAACTCACATCTTTATAAGTATTGAAGAAGTGTGTATTCTGGATCCCAGGCCTTTCCATCAGAAAAGTTACATAGTGCACCTTTAAAATTCACATACAAACTATTAACAATGGAGACTAATTTGTACAGGCCAGTAACCCAAATTTAGGACACCATTCAAAATAATTCTCATAATACAGCCCAATGAAGAGAAAAAACATTTCTTGGTGATCAGTCCTTGATTACCTGATAACGATGTTTTTGTTTATGTTTTGGATCCAGAAGTCCACCGCCAGAAGTCCGCAGCCCCAAACATGCATTTCGAGTGTTTATATCGCTTTCATCACTTCATTCTTAACTCTGACAGGTCATCAGTTCATGGATGCTGTCAGTTTAGATCACACTCGCTAACAGGAAAAGCCATGATTGATAACTGCAAAGCTGGGAATGCATAAACCAGATGCTCGGGGTATTTATCTGCAGTATGTGAGCTTCAAAGTGTGGGATGTTATTGTGGAGTCAATCAAAGCGGGACATACAAAAAGTTGATATCAAAGTACTCTGACACCAAATGCCACATTTCAGCAGCTCCACTTTTCTTAAACTGGCAAATTGGGTCTTTCTACATTCAGCTTGTCTCGGTCTTGTCTCCATTAGATGTTATTGCTTGGCCTGAATGTTCCACAGTGTAGCATTAAACTTTTATTCAATTGCCTCTATGGAGATAGTTATGTTTGATGCTGTAATACAGAACATTCTAAACCAAGCAACAACATCTCCATAGAGGCACACAGACAGCAGATCCTCCACCTGAAATGTTACATGATGCAGCTTTGAGTTTAAAAGATCCACACTTTACTGCTTCATGAATACAAATTACAATTTAATGTTCTACATTATGCAAAGTTTTCTTGAATGCTGTTATCTCCTCAAAAACATAATTGGAGTTGTGTTTTATGTCATTAACACATGTCTGAGTAATCATTTATTACTAGTCTGTCTGCATCTACAAATCTCAAAATGCTCTGTTCCACTTTGTGATGTTATGAAGCGATAATTTTCAAGCAGCTAGCTTTTACATTTTGTTTAGTAAAGATGCAAATTCCAGGTCTGACATTATCCAAATTATTCTAGTGTCTGGAGTTTAAAAACAAGTGAAGCACTTCCTGTATTACCACATTATATTTTGGATCATTATGAGACAGAGGTGGTCGTTGTTTTGCAAGTCTTAAGTAAGTCTCAAGTCTTTGACCTCAAGTCCAAGTCAAGCCCCAAGTCAAATACAGGCAAGTCCAAGTTGAGTCCCGAGTCACTGGTCCAAAAGTCCAAGTCAATCCAAATCAAGTCCAAGTCGTCTGCTTTGAGTCATTTCAAGTTTTTAAATCAAAGTACCAAATATAGCTTAGATTTTTGCAATTTATATGAATTTTAAACTAAATTATTCTTTAAAAGTCATGGTATATTTATATATGAATATTTGTAGAGTATATAAGTGTTGTAGAAATGCAAATCTTTCCATTTTAAATGTCTTAACAAGATCTTAGTGCAAATCATTACAGTGAGAAAAGACAGAATTCAGATTTAAAAGTGCTTCTCAAGTCTTCTCAAGTCACAGGCTTCAAGTCTGAGTCAAGTCCCAAGTCTTAGTCCATTTTATCAAGTCAAGTCTTAAGTCCTAAAAATAGTGACTCAAGTCCACGTCATGACTTGCAAGTCTCCATCTCTGTTATGAGAGAAGAACTCAGTGTGAATGAAACAATACACAAATCTGCATATGTTTTTGATGAGGAAACAACATTATAACACAGATCAGAAAATAGCACAATATGGGCCCTTTAATGACTGTACATTTTCATAAGAAACTATGTAAAAATAATTAGATTAATCAAATTAAAACCAGACTTCAGACTATTCACCCCACTCATAAACTACTATTCATCTGTGGGGAATTTGGAGATGCACTAACCAGTCCAAATATTTCAACAAATTGTTATAAATGTCTTTCTGGATCAGAGGTGCGTGCGTATTAAGGATTTACTGTTTGTAATCTTGAGCTGCTAATCATGAGCACATTCCAAGGAAATGCCTCTTCAACAGAAAGTAAAATCTGCTTCCATTAAAGGACCTTGTCATTTTAAACAGGATAGATAAAACTTTATGTCCTCTGGATTTCTGGGGAAAAAATGGGGTGGTCCTCACAGCTGTAAAAACATGTTCTGTTCCTCCATTGTTCTCCACGTTCATCTCTCAATCCAGCTCTTGTGGTTTTGTGGGTGAGGCCCCTGCACACTTAGCACCTTGACAGATTATAAACACACTTTTGGGAGAATTATTAGCAGATTTGTGTTTGTTTAAGAATAGCTTGAGAAAACTGGTTGGGGGATTCTGAGGAAGCATTTTAGCCAGTTATACAGCAATGCTCGAGTTCCCAACCGGTTCAAAGGAGGGGATCTGTGTCTGGGATGTGGACTTTAAACAATGGGTCCCATGGGATATCGATGCTGCACCTTAGACATTTTGAGGTTTCTGATCCAAACAAACGCTTCCTGTTTA